TAATGCAGTTAGAAAGAGGTATGTGGCTGTATGAGTTTGGGAAGCGTATGTAATGAAGACACTGCATACATCATTAACTTAACTACCAGATGAAAAACTCAGAATTACTTTTAAATCTAGCACTGCAGTGTTCTTAGTAGTGACTAACTAATCTCTTCACATGTTTAGTTTTCTGCATTGAACGTGCACAGCTATTTGCAGATTTAATGTTTACTTTTTTGTAGGTATGTGCATGATAAAGAATGTGTTGCTACCACAGGAGATATTACTGTTTCTGTATCCACATCTTTTCTACCTGAACTCAGTTCTGTACATCCACCGCACTATTTCTTCACTTACAGAATCAGGTAAGAATAATAACTGAACAACATAAAGCACCACAGGAAAGACCGTTGCGGAGTTCACATCATCAATTTTATGAATACTGTGTATAAATCTGTAAAGTTACTAAAATTAATTGAATGTGTCTAAATGTGCACAGCATGCAGTATTTAATTAAAAAACAGCCATTTAAATGTTACCTCGTCAAGTACATAAGGCATCTGTCAAGTTGGTAATTAGTAAAATACAGTGATGTGTGAGGTAAAAAAAGTTACAAGTAACTCAGAAAGGGAACAATAATGATAGTGAGCAGAGACATACAGGTGGATACTGGCAACTGATTCAGTATACCTTACTGTAAGTTGTTGGGTTATTGTTTTCCCAGTCTGCTTTGATAGATATCCCATGACTGCCCAAGTTTTAAAATGTATGAAAGTAGTTAGATAATCATTAAATGTGCTGTTTGGCTTCTAGAATCGAAATGTCCAAAGATGCCCTTCCTGAGAAGGCTTGTCAGCTGGACAGTCGATACTGGAGAATAACAAATGCCAAAGGTGATGTAGAAGAAGTTCAAGGTCCTGGAGTAGTTGGTAAGCAAAAGATTACTTTTATAAACCTAATGGAGAATGTTTTGGTGTTTAATAGTGTAAGTTTCATGACGTGTATATTAGCCATTCTTTATGGTGACATGGTAGTAGTTATGTGGTTTGTATCAACACAATCTCATTGCTTGAAAGGAAGAAATACACATCCATCTCTTTCATCTTTTAAAGTTGTTTTGCGAGCATAGTTTTAACATCCTGATAGTCAATCTTTCTTCAAACAGTTCTTTTTAATGCTAAGTTATATAATTATATAACTTATATTATATTCTATATTTTATAATTTAATTAATATAAAAAGTTATATAATGCTAGTTATATAATTTCTGCCTCTAGTAGAATCTGAAATGATCTGCCTGAATGTTACAGTGTGTCGCTGCTCTAGCAAAATGCTAAAATGCAGTTATACATCAGCTCTTACTTACTGTGATCTAACATCTTGTCAACAGGGGAGTTTCCAATAATCAGCCCAGGGAGAGTCTACGAATATACCAGCTGTACTACTTTCTCCACAACATCTGGATATATGGAGGGGTATTACACCTTCCACTGCCTCTACTACAAGGAAAAATTCTTTAATGTTACAATTCCCAGATTTCATATGGTGTGTCCAACATTCAAGGTGTCTACAGCACGAATGGTAAGCAAAAATGCAGTTGTGCTTATCTTGGATTTTCTTTCTCACCTCCTGTTCTCATTGAGCGTTAATCTTAATAGTAGAATGTAACTGTCTGTCTAAACTTCAATGATGACTTTTTTCAGTTTTAATACTTTCCCTGAAAATCAGCTCTCTTTGAGATCCATTTCACTTAAAACATAAAATCTGAAAGTATCACTCAGTCTAATACTTGGGCAACTTCCCATTATGCAAACTTTTTAAGCTTCTGGAATGTTTACTGATAAGAAAACACTTATGTTGCAAAATTTACAGCACTGAACAATATTCGGATTGATAACACATTTAAGCCTAAGTCAGTCTGAAAACTATGGTAGTCAGTTTGTACACTGGTAAAGCAATGTATCCTTGTTGCTTTGACATCTAATGCTACCAATTTAAAATTTTTTGAATTATCCTCCTGTTGTTCAGTTTTTACTAGTTTCACTGGTTTCCAGTTTTCACTAGAGTTAGTGCATTTCAGTAACTCTCTTAATGAGTTGGCAAATCAGAAAGATATTTAGCTTGCTGTTAATTATCATTGTGATCTGGAGATTGCGAGTTAACTTTAATTTTTCTGATTGTTTTGGGACATTTAGATGTGATGGCTTTATTAATTGTATGACTTGCATAGCTCTTTTCTAGTGACTAGTTCAGATAGAACTTAAAATCCTTGTGTAAGTGCTGAGTATTTCTTCAGGGGTAGACCTCTACTTTTGCCTTGGAAAAACAGGACCAAGTATTTTTAAAAAATCGTGTTACCTGAGGCTATAATAGAAATTGCCAGCAGAGGTCGTACTTATAGTGGAAGGTATTTCTTGATTATGTTTATGAGTGGAGGAGGATACAATGTATCTGACTGTAAAAGTCATTTGGTTTTCTCTCTTTTGCTCTACCACTACTTTTAAAGGTAGTAATGACCCTTTGTTTTTAAACTGCTTGTATTAAAATATGGGCCACCAAGGAAACTGGTACAACTAAGGTTCCAGATTGACTCTACATAGCTGTACATATGGAATAATTAAGGCTAATGGAAATTTACTGAGATGAAGATCAAATAGCTTGGCAAAATGATCTCTAGTGTAAATTAAGCTTTATAATTTTAAGGAACTGTTTGTTGTTTTTTTTTTTAAGACATGGGCACAGTATCTGCCTCAGTTAATCGATGTGATAACATAGATTTCTAATTTTTCTGGACAAACATTTGTGCTTTCTTATAAGTTGCTGAAGATTTTAATTAAATATGAATGTGCCTTGTATTAGGAAACAAATAATAACAAGTATGCAGTGGATGAAGACGAAGATTCCACAGACACTGATGAATATGAGGACCGCCGTAGAGTGATGGACATTCCTGCACCTTCTGGACGCTGCCCACATCATACCTGATGGGACTTTTTTCCAAAACTGTTTTCAGAAGCTGAACTCTTTGGGGCTAGTGCATAAAAATATTTCTGACTATTGTAAATGAACTTTCTGTTGCTCGTCAGGGCAACTAGCATGAATGTTGGTGCCAGCTCTAATATTCATCAGAGTATAACTTTTCTTTTTTTTTCCTGGTTTGGAAGTGCAGGGGAGGGGGGGGAAGGAGGGAAGTAGAGAAAGAGAAAGGTGTTTGGGTTTTGTTCACTTTTTTCCCGGGTGCAAAACAGAGTGATAGTCTGAGATAATCATATGTTTCAATTTTAAACCATTGTGTGGGGATTTGTTTTTATACAAGCATTTAAAATTAGCAATAGACAAGGAGGCAAAAGAGGTGTGTATTGTCCACGTGAGTTTCTACTGTTGGTAATTTCTGCTAGGAATGATGTTTGCAGGTTGGTTGATATATCCCATTTGGGTTAGATCAGGTGCTCTTACGCTCTTTTTATTAACGTAGAACCACCAGAAAATTCTGATTGTCAGATAAATTTGGAGTGAAACTGGCCTTATTTTTAGACAATCTGTCTTTCTGCTTAATTTTATGCTAAGTGACTCTGACTGAATGTAGTACACACATCATCTGCCACTTGGTAAAGAAATTTCTCAATGACTACGAAGTATGAATTTGTAAATATGTTTTGAGTTTTTCATGATATAATGTTTGCTGTTCCGACTTTGCCCTGGTTGACAATTTCTGTCAAAGTATCATGTTTCCGTAAATCCTCTGTGGGTTTTTGCAACTATGCCTCCTGAATCCCCCCCCCAAAAAAAAAAAAAAAGAGCCTGACAGAACACCAGATGACTAGAATCTTTATATTTAAATAAGTACCTGTTTGCTTCATCACTTTTATTTTGTTTCCACTGTCATTAATAAACAAATTAACTGCCTTCTTTGCTCTGAAGTGCTATATGGGAATGCTTCTGACACCACTTGAACAAAACTGGTAACTAGTTTTGCTGTAGTCAGTTCATTTTTTTTTACATCCAGAATTAGTAACTCTGATGAGTAATACCACTATATTGTTGTTACAACTGGATCTTTCAATTGCTGAATAGCTACAGCTGTTACAGAAAGTCTGAATGTTTGTTTGTTTGTTTCCTAGAAGTCATTGTCATAGTCACTGGGTTCTCAATGAGCTCATCTTTCTCTTGTGCCACACAGCATTTGGATAGATCTTCCACAGCGGGAGACAAATGAATACTGAATGTGACCCCTGCAACAGTTCTTCAGGTGAAATATCCAGAGGAGTAAAAAAAGGAAAGAAAAAAAAAAAAAAGTTGCTTCTCCAGTACTGAAGTCTGAACAGCAGTGTGAATTACTAGACTAGGTTAAACATGTTTTCACTTGGAAGCCCCTTCAGTATTAACTGTTAGAAGAAAATGTGTTGAAAATTATCGTGGCTTAATGCTGTTTCTTAACAGAAGGCTCATCGTCAGTTAAAAGGATCAGTGAATAAAGGTTGGGAAACCAATATTTAGCAGAACTAGAGCTTATTCCAGTGCAATCTGTCTAATATGTATTTTAGCAACTTTTAACTGTCATGGTCAGGGCCATGCCATAGTCAGAAACGGGATCTGCGGGTTCTAGTAACATAGTATCAACCAAAGGTCATTAGGTTCTGTAGAAACACTTCCAACAAGGATGTTACGGGAGGGTTTCTTTTCCTTTCAGTTGTTACAAAGGAAGTGTAATTTTTGCTTACTGTTGTGTAAGGCAGGATAGAGGACAACACAATCCTGTTGGCTTCTGAGCATTTGCAGCCCATGTTCCCATTGCTGCTGGCAGTCTCAGGGCTCTTGTAACTGCAGGTATGAAGTACACATCTAATGAGGTGTGAGAACAGCTTGTTGCTGTTATTGTACCAGCTGTGTTTCTAAGTGGTTGTATAAAATGGCTTCAGGCAGCTATTTCAGCTCAGCGACGTGTTGCCTGGACTTAGCAGATGCCATGTTGCTGGAAGCATTGTAGCTCTTGGTCATGCACAGTCAAAACAGGGCGTATGTCAGTAGTCTTGCACATCCCACCCAAACCTGAAACTTCTGCCAAGTTGGTACAAAAAGCAAAGCAGCTGAAACTGTGGAAGAAAACAAGGCGTTAGTCATGTGTGCATGCAGAAATCTTCACTGGGAAAGAGAGGAGCGATTGTTGAGATCCCACTGAGGAAGATGGCATTTCAGCAGTGTTCTGATGCAGCACTTCGGGTAGGTGTGTTGGTAAATGTTACAGGGCTTCCACTCGCTAACTGCTCAATATAAACTGTACAGTGAATATGTTGCACTGCCTGTCTCTTTGGTGGCCAGAGTTTAGATTAAGCCTGAAGCTCTTTCACCTGCTTCTGACCAGATCCGGAAAGTCTGATGCTGCCCCATAACTGGGGCTTTTGTCCTTGGGCCTCACTGCACATATGAAAGTCCAAAATATAGTTAAAGGCACATCCAGTGCAAATGTGTAACTGAAGCAGATCTTATTTGTGTGTGTGGAAAAGGTTTCCAGTGCCAGCTTATTGTTGCTGTAGGATTCCACTGGCATTTTCTGGGGCTTGTACTGACGTGATTAAATGGAGTGAGCCTTCTGCCCTGGCCCTGACTGCATCGTGCAAGGGGAAAACAAGGCAGGTGCCAGCCAGCAGCAAAACCCCCAGGGTTTGCTGTTCAACTTGTGCCACTGAAAGGTTTATTCTGATCGATGTTGACAGAAATGTTCATCATCTGTGTAAGGAATGTGCAAGGGTGGAAAATTCATACCGCAAGGGAAATGCCATTTATGTGACAATATGGTCTTAAGGAAGGGAAAACAGGCCTGTTCTCAGCTGTGACTCGAGTTCCATGTCGCCGGTTCCTCACCACAAAATTCTACAAGTGAAATAATAAATCACAGTGCGTGTTTGTTTGTTTTAAATATCAAATCTTAGCGTCTTGGATTCTGATAGTTTGTAAGTTGTGTGCACACAAGCGTCCTCTCCCCCTTTGCTCATAGGTACGGCTCGCACGAAGGTCGGATCTTTAAAACACCACATCACCAACTGTGCGGGAGCCGTGCCGCAGCCGGGCCGGGCCGTGCCCGCGGCTCCGCCCTCGGGGCGGGCAGCAACAGAACCGCTCAGCCCTGCACCGCCGACCTCCTGCAGACGGTGCGGGACTGAACGGAGGTGCCGTGCGGAGCCGGTAAGGGGCGCGGTGGGTGCGGGCCGCCCGTTGACGTTCAGTGCCCCTCTCGGCTCACCGCAGCGCTGCGGCGGGGAGCGGCGGCCCGAGGGCTGCCTCTGCATGCGGAACGGCGGCGGGTTGCCGAAGCGGGGCGAGCGGCCGGGCTGGGGACGGGGAGGACGGGGTTTGTGGGTTGGGTCACGGCACCGGGTCCGCGGCGATACCGCAGTGCGCTGTGTGTATCTGTATGTATGTAGATACACCGTGCCCTAGGGCAGAGCCGCAACGCCTCGGGGACGGAGCGCCGTGCCGGCCACGGGGTAATGGGGCGAGGTGCGATGGGACGCGGAACGGGCTGCTCCGAGAGGCTGCGGACGAGTCAGGGTCCCCGTCGCAGCTCACTGCCATCCCGCCAATCCGGGGCTGCGGCACGGCAACGACCTAGCTTCGTCCGCGGGCGAGCGGTCCCGGGGGGCTGCAGAGATTCCTTCGGCGCGGTCCTCAGCCGCGGCATTTGGACAGCTGTGTCATCGGGGCCGGTGGGATGCCCCAACTGGACAATTTGAGAATCCAATTTCTATTTAAATCACAAAAAACAGGTGCATTGCAGCTTTACTGCCGTTAAAGCCATTATGCTGGCTTCGTCGACCTTTATTATTCCGGCCGTGACTCGCTTCTGCCAAGCGGCAAAGCTGCGCCGTGCCGGGCTGAGCCGTGCCGTGCCTCGCCGCGGGCACTGCGGGGCTGAGGGTCTCTCCAAGATGGCGGCGTCCCGGGGCGCTGCGGGCTGTGCCAAGAACCCCGGCTGCGGGGTCTCGGAGGAGTCGCACCAAATGGCTTATCTTGGGAAACAGTACATCCTGCATCCGAGGGCTTTTTTTTTTTTTTTTTTTTTAAGCTTAGGTAATACAGAGGAGAAGGCTGTTTATTCACTTGGCTTATGACTGAGAAGGATTCCAGTATTGTTTTACTGCAATGCCACTTTTTGAAGTTCTGTTGGGAGGAAAAGATTCTATTAGCTTGTGACTACAGCCTCTAAACTGCGCACAGAAGTAGCTCCAAGCAGAAGAAGTGCAGTCAAGAACAGTGATGTCAGTGCCCCACTGCAGTCTTATGGCAAAACTTGTTTTCTGAATTCCTGCAGTGCTTTGGCACTGTCGACTCCCACCTGGGCTTTAAAGCTAAATGCAATACCAGGTCCTTCTGCCTCAAGTGTGTCCTTCTGTCTTCAGATCTGCTTGGTGCTGGGTCTGAAGGAGAGCCTTGGGTGTGGGGTCCTGGGGAGCTTTGCATCAAGTTGTTTACCGTGAAAAACATCAACTTTTTACATGTGTAAATAGTGATAGGGCAAGGGAGAATGGTTTTAAACAAAGAGAAAGAAGATACAGATTAGGTGTTGGGAGCAATTCTTTACTCAGAGGGCAGTGAGGCACTGGCTGCCCAGAGAAGTTGTGGGTGTCCCACCCTTGGAGCTGCTCAAGGCTGGGTGAGATGGGGCCCTGGACAGCCTGATCTGGTGGGGAGCAGCCCTGCCTATAGCAGGGGTGTGGAACTGGGTGGACTTTAAGGTCCCTTCCAACCCACGCTGTTGTGTGATTCAGAAGAGCCCATTCTCTGCAATGGTGGGTACAGACATTCAGCAGTAGGCTCGCACTGCTCACACATTTCATCTTGCAGACTGGCCCAGCTGGGAGAATTGTGGGGAAAGGGGCAAGCAGCCTTGTGGCTCACGCAGTTCTCAAACAGCCTTTAGAGAGGAAAGGAAGGAGCATGGGGTGGCTGTGGGGTTATTGGCGGATTGCTGTGAAAGAGAAGACATGCAGGACCACAGGCCCTTCTTGCAGAAGGTGACAGCTGGTGAGAGCTCTTGGGCAGGATGAACAGCAATGCTGCAGCCAGTGGGGCTCTGGGCCCAGCGCCCGGCACGAAACCTTCTTCATGAAGGTGAAAGTCACTTTTGTCTCTTCCCTTTCAGTGGTTTTCTGATGGCCAATGACTTTGGTCACACAGAATCCCTTTCTGAAACCTTCCTTCCTCACCACATATTTTGCCAGTTCTGTATATAATAATTATTTTAAATCCGTTTATGCCCCCCAAACAGGGAAGAAGCATGATCAAGATGAATTGTGTCCTGCTAACCGCCTGCATTGTTCTGCTTGCTTTCTCTAGTTCTGGTGAGTATAATGGAGGCTCTCTGCTGATGGAATGTTATGACAGTGTGTGAAGGAATCATGGAAACAATGTCTGAGAGGGAAAAATAACAAGAAAGGCCTGCATTATTTAATGTTGCTGTGGGGAATGAGGGTAACTTTATAGGCAGGGCTTCGTTTCTGTGGCTGATTGTCTTTGGTCAGAGCAGAGAGCTGTGTGCAGAACATGCTGCTGCTTAATATGGCAACTAAATATGCTGCTTTGCTGGTGGAATATTGAATTCCTGTTGTATAATTTAGAAACAAGGAGTAGAGCACAAGGGAGATATGAGGTAGGATGAAAGGAACAAGGGAAAAAGGGGTGGAATACAATTCTGGTAAAAATATCTCTTATCTGTGAAGTGCTTTTTAAGATGAAATATGTAAAGCACATGCTTCAAAATCTTACTTGCAAAATTGCCAGTCTCAGCATGTGCACTGACAAAAACTTGTGCATTTCAGCTTGAGTTTAGATTAACAACCAGAAATATGCTTTGTGGAAGTCAAATGCAAGAACTGTTTCTTCATTTTTCTTTTCAATTCTGCTTGTTCAGTAAAGCAAAACTCTTGTCTTCTTAGGTTATGCCCTGAGGTGCTATCACTGCGAGAACAGCCCTTCCTTGTGCAAAACCAACAGCACTTGCTTATCAAATGAAGACACTTGCTTGCAGATGAGATTTGGTAGGTATACTGACTTTCAGACCTAAGGTAAACATGGCTGTATCCATTTTCATTGCCTGTGCACTTCTGATCTGGACAGAACTTGAATTTCTTAGCCTTCTGCAATAGAAGGTTGCAAATATAAGCTTGAAGGTCATGCATGTAGTAAATTGGTGTATTTTGACTTCCAAGCGACTGATACAGATGGTGATGATTTGGATATTTGATGTATTAGCATGTATACAGATGTCTCACTATGTACTGAGTTTGTGGCTGACACACTTTTTACTTGAGCTTGTTGCCTCTAAGGAGTCCAAGTGGATAAGCCCATGAAGGCATAGGAGGGAGAAAACTTTTCTGAATTGGACATTCATTGTGATCACTGTGAAGTTTATATTTCTGATGTAAAGATGGGGTTAACATGGTATGGATAAATACCTCAGCTGAAGATCATTCTTAGCCCTGTAACAAAGTATTTACTCACCTGCAGTTCTGGAGTTTGCATTCTATTTGAAAGGCAGAGATGAAACTGTGGACATTTTCCCAGACTTCCTTTGGGTTGTGGGTTACTCAGCACAGCCTTTTAATTGCTTTTTTTTTTTTTTTTAAATAAAGAGATTCTGAAGCTAATCACTTTGTAGTTGGAGCTCTCCTACTGAGAGCTTGGCATCTTGCATGAGGATGTCCGCAGTCTCACAGAGCAGGCTCTCTGGCAGGAATAAGAGCACAGGCTGTGTGAGGTGAACCTGCTGGCTGAATGCTGCACTATGTCAGCTCCAGCAGCTCTTATCTCAGTGCATGGCCCTTGGAAATGAAACAATGGGCTAAGTGAAACAACGTCCTGGTTTCCCAGCTGGTTCCTTCTGCCCTAAAAGACTGTTGTGCTGATTTTAGGACTGACATCTTCCCAGGATGGTCGTTGCTAAAGCTTCAATCTAAGTAGTGATTCTCAATCTGTTTCAAAAGTGGCTTTGCTTTCAATATTCTCTTAATCTTTTTAATTATTTTGCAGGTAAATTGAGAACATCCTCCTGCTGGAAGTTGTCTCAGTGCAACGTGAATGATATTGCTGTATTCTATCAGTTGGATAACTTTGATTACTTTTGCTGCCAACAAGACTTGTGCAATGAGGGTGCAGTCACTGGGATTAACAAGGCAGCTTTCAGTATTGCTTCTGTAATGGCCATGTTATGGATGCTTCTGTAGCAATCCTGGTCTGTATGCTGTATTTCCAAGCTGAAATCATACAAAATCATTATTAACCCTTTTCTCAGTTGTACTTCTTGCACTTTCAGTTCCTAGCTGTGGGCTGAAACAAGGCCTTTTAATTTTCAATTCTTTTTTTTAAGGTTCCACCTGGTAAACTGCTGTCTCCATTTATGTGAAGGAGACCAATATTGTTAACACTTTCAGTAAGTTTTGGCATGACATCTGCTCAGTGAAAATACCTAATTCTGGAGTAGTGTTACATTGTGGAGGACCTGGGCAAACCCTTGAGGTTGATATGGAAATGAAGGAATAATGTATGTTTTATGATGGAAAACTGTAATTTCTTACTATACCATGAATTTTAATTAATTTTGAGATTTTGGTTCTTTTGGATGCTACCTTTTCATTCACAAGGCAGTGGGTTTACCCTCAACACAGAAAGCGTTGAATCAGAAGCATAAACTTGCTGCAGTATTCATGAAGTATTTGTTTTTTAGGTGATGCAGACTCTTTGTTCCTATCATGTAACGTTTTTTTTCATTTATACAAACCAATAACATAATGATCAGTACCATTATTTTGGAGGAAAGCATTTAACTTTCTTAAAACAAAACCAAAATAATGCTTTTAGTGAGGAAAACTCCTCCTTTTTTTATATTTCTGTGGGCATGCAGATTACATATGCCAGCTTCTTTTCTGGGCTTTCATTTTACAGTTTAGTTTTGCTTATATTTTTTCTCCAAGTCTAGATTTTAAGCTAAGCATGTGCTTTGCACTAAATATTTCTTGGTATACCAAAAATTGTTTATAAAATGCTAAGGAATTAAAATGGCACAGCTAGTTTACTTTCCTGAGTAATCAGCTTTTGTTTTTGTTGAAACACATGCACAGGTAAACTTAATCCTTTAGGCTTCCATAAGAGCATTAAACAAAAATTTGCAGACCTTTATATTTTGACCTTTGTGCAACTGTATAAATGCCAGTCAAACCACACATGCATCTAAATAGCATGAAGAATAACGCTCGGTTTGTGTGTGTACGACTTCTAGAGCTCGAACACTGCACATTGTTTTGATTCAGTGGTGGAGACAGACCTTTGGTGCTTCCCCTGGTCTTAGGGAGCCTCTCAGTTAAGTACGATGCCAAATTTTCCTTTGACAAGTTTGGAATTTTTAGCATGCTCTCGCAAGAGTAATGGTCCATAGCCAATGGTATATTCTTTTCCGAGGGCTCTGGCTCGTGCTGTCCAGGGTGTCAGTGACACTGGCTCACTCAGTCATAACAAAGGCAAGGGACTGCATTGTGTTACTCCAAACCATCATGTATTCTGCAAAGCACCTTTTGGCTAAGCTTACCTTAGCTATGAAAACATCCTGGGATCTCTCTGGTCACTCAAAATATGAAAGCTATGCTGTCTTTGGTTAATAAAAATGTAAAAAAGAAAATGTGGAAAGTGTGGTTATTTAAGAGCACGCTACTTACAGCCCAATATAATTCTCATTTCCAAGCAAGATGCATCCATGCTTTCCATCTGGAGACTCTCCTTAAATGTGAGCCAGGCTTTTCTTGCTTCTGACCAGGAGATGGCTGCTATAATCAGTGCGTTTTGGCAGAGTGATTATAGCTTTTGGGAGTTGTTATGCTGGGAAACAAAGAGGGTTAGCAGTCTTTCTCTAAGTGAAGTAGTACTGGTATGACACAGGAGGGAAGCAGTAGAATATGTGGCCTAAGAGATGTGAATCTCTTAGGAGTTTTCCTGTTGAAAATACGAATTTCCCATCGTTTGGGAAAGAAGAGTTGTTGGTGCCAAAGCATATAACATAACATACTTTGGTAGAAGTACAACAGTCCTATAGGAAAAATAATAAAAGGTGATAGAGCTGACATGTTTTAGAAAGAACGTGGAGAATTTGCAGGAGAAGGGAAGTTTAAAAAAGGGAAAAAGCAAACAAAAAAAGGATTAATATTTAAAAGACTTAACAAGAAGAGTTAATTCTGTAATCACAGAGGTAATAAATTTCTGTGGTGGTAAAGGAAGGTGGTAAAACCTTCCTTACTATGAGAATAGTGAGGTAGTAAATATTTTGTGTGATTAACTGTGTCCTGTGAGATGCAGGTTAGTGCCTGTGGCTGTCTACATTACCATGGAGTCTAGGGTAACTTGTCACTTTTCTGGTTTTTGTTGTCATTGTTTTCCTTAGTTTTTTAAAATTATCTAAATTATTTGCTCCACACTAAATTAGTGGCACAACTAAAACCCAGTATTTATCTGTTTACCTTTGAGCATGCTTTATTTGTTAATACTGAGAAAGCACGGAGCTCAGCAGAAAGCTGAGCAAGAAATTTCTTCCCACCACAGATTGGATTGAGAGAAATGAGGAGGCTAACAAGCCATGAGCAATTCCTCCTAAATGTGAAGGAATTGCTAAGGCAGTAAAGTAGTCCCAACAGAGAAATCTCCACCTGTCTCTGAGGGACGTGTATCTTGCTGATGAATAAAGTGAGTGTTAGGGCTGAAGGGAGTCATAACAGGGAAGTTAGGCTGCAAGGTACACAAAAACACTAAGACCAGTTATTTGTGAGATGCATGTTGTTCTCCCAGTGTGCTGTACTTTCAGACTTAATGATGCAATTTTAATATCACACTAACAGGACCTTGATGCAGCACACAGCATTTTGGAGTGGGAGAACCAAGCAGTGGATTTGGCTGTTGGGGTTCCAGAAGCAAGCAGGGTGTAATTTCCACTCTCATCTTTCTAAGACTAGTTGATACATTGGTTAAAGGGTAAGGAACTCCTCGTTTATGCACTGTGTTGATTATTACAGCAGGTCAATTCACACTGCAAAGAAAAGTCAAAGTTTAAGGGAGTTTTGGCCTCCTTCACTGAATTGGAACCGTTAAAAAATATTTGGAGCAAAGATGTAGATAAGTTTTCTGAAGCAGTTTCTGAAAGTAATTTTCAAGAGTCCCTTAAGAAATGGTGATACAAGGGGCAGTGAGGCAACAGGCACCAAAACACAGCGTTCCCCTGGCAGCACTTGTATGCACATTCCTATGTATGAGAGTGGAAAACCCCGTAATTCTGGACCTGAAGATGCTACAGGGCTGGCTGTACTCAGAGGCTTGTAAGCCTTCTACAGCTGTATCTTTTTCCATGTACGTTCACTTCCTGCTGCTCTCAGTTTTGCCTCAGAACTGTAGAGGTTTCTTTATTTATGAGGTCAGTCATTTGCTGTTAGAATTTCTGAATTATAAATACAGTGCAGAAAAATCTGTTCAGAAACAAATGAGGAAAACTACCTGAACACAGATGGACCGTTACCTCAATGTTTTGAACTGTTACATCTGAAGCCTCTTTCCTGCACGTGAAAATCTCTAGAACTGACCAAATGCCGGTCTTGTCGAAGTGGTTAGGAGTTCAGTTTTCAGTAAGATGCCTTCCAGCCCTTGTTTTTCAAATGCTAGCTAGCCCAAGTGTGCTGTGAGGGTGTAACAGTAACACAGTGCTGTTGTTCCCATGCACGCACTTCCCAAAGAAGCCTTTATTCCCGACAGCATTCATGCACACGGTGCCGGGAAGCCCGTGGCCATGACGTGGTTGGGAATTTCAGTGGGAAGTGCCTGTGGGAGATCCTGGCCTCGCATCACACAGCCCAGCAGCAGCTGGGGGAAAGGGCCAGGCAGTCTTTGTAATAAATGGTGTCCTTAGTCGTAGAACACCCGCTGCGAACTGGAAAGAAGGGCACGCTGGGAAAAGCAACTCTGTGACGTTGGTAGTACGGAGAAAGCTGTTCCACTTCATCTCCTAGAACACTGACAGCGCGGCTGTCGTTACAGTGTATCCGCTGCGCACCGGTACTCCCAGAGGCGCCCATCCCTTCCGGACGCTTTCCCTCACCGGTCATCGGCTGCCACGCTCCCTCAGGGCCGAGGCTCCTCCGCGCCGCCAGGGGGCGCTGCAATGCCGAGGCGCCGCGGGAGGCGTGGCTCGCTGCCGTGCCGGGCGCTGCGGGGCCGTGCCGAGGCGCAGGCGGAGGAGGCGGTAGCGCTGCGCGGAGCCCGGCGCGGCTCGCCGCCCGCCCACCGGCACCCGCAGGTGAGTGCGGCCGAGCGGAGCCGTTCCGCCGCTGCTTTGGCGAGCTGGGGCGATCGGGTGGGTGGGAGGGAAGGCCCGGCCGGGCCTCCTCGTTGCGGCTGTGTTCTGCTTTGGCCCTGAGCCTGAATGGGCCTCGGACGGTTTGCGGTGGCGGTGCTGGCGGCACTGCAGGAAGTGCGTACGGCCGGGAGGTACGGCCGGCTTTCCAGGGGAAACGCGACCTGCGTTCTCCGGGAGCCGTTCGTCACAAACACGTGTAATAACTGTGCGGGTGTGCTGTTAAACCAGTTTTGGGTAAAGGCAAATCTGAGCAGGTGCAGTGAGAAAAATAAGTATATTGACACGCTTTTCTTTCGGTCCCTGCGTTTAAAGCACGAGTGTTCAAAGAATTGTATTGGAAGTAATAAAGCGCCGTTGATAATCTTGCTACTATAGACGTGTGAAGGAAGAGAAAGGGAGCACCATTGCCTTCCCTGGTAGTTCTGCCTCTGTTTGCTGCTACGCTTCTGCAGAGAAGAGAAGAGCTCCTGTAATGCCTTTGTATTGAGAGCTCAGTGAGCGTGCATGAAGCCATCTTTATATCAGAATGGCTGTGAACAGCCGTGGGGAAAGTGAGTGCGGGGGTTCCGTGACCTCTCACGTATGTGCTGCTGCTGAAAGGTGCCCTGCCCGCATCTGTGTGCTCTTCATTGCCCCTTGTGCCAGGCCCTGACATAGCTGGCTCAGGGAAGTGAGCAGGCTGGAACTCCCCCAGGTGAATGCACGATTAGTTTTTTTTAGCTGGGCTTGACTGCAGCTAGAGCAGGACCGATAGAATGGAGGACTATGGAGCCAAAAGCTGCCAGAGGAGTTTTTTTCTTTGATAAAATCCCATTGTGATAAGAGCTGAAGCCTCAGTTGTCCTTTGAGCATAAGGAGAAACTTCCTTCACTGCAGCTAAGGAAACCTTAGTTCTATCTCTTGGAGTTTGCAAAAGGTTTGAGTATGCTGCCTGTTGTTCCTCGGAGAAGGAAACATTGAGAAAAGTGAGCGTATAGTGCATGACAAAGGATGGTGATCAGCATGGTAGGAAATGCAAGAGGAAGAGCAGGATGAGGAACTGGCAGTGATGGAGCAGTGTGAAACATTTAAAGTGAGAGTGAGCAGGTAGATCTTGCAGCAGGAAAACAAACACAGAAAAGGTAGCCACAGATCATTTCTTATGTGCTTGATGACTGATAGTGCTGTGTCCAGGAAATAGGCTAGCACTGGAAGGACAATTGGGATAGAAAACTTGATTAAGTTTTGTTTAGATAATACTGCAAGGAGAAAGGATTGTGCTGAGCGTTCCAGCTGCAGCCTTGGTGCTTTAATTTGTTGTCAGCATAAGAAATGCAAAAATCACTATTGGTTGGCTTCATGCTGGGTGAGGAATTTTTGTTTTTGTTTCCAAGTTAGTTTGGAAAACTTCTCAATATTTAGTAACCCTGCTATAAATAAAGATGATTGGGAAAGTAGCAGTTAAGGTATTCAGGTAGGAATGCTGGCACATGAAGTGGCTGAAGGCAATTGCTTCAGTCAAAACTGGAAATGAGCTGAAATATTCATAAGTAAAATGTAAATGCACCACCATATTACATCCAATGAGTCCCTTTTAGCTTCTCTGTAGCTCGGTAACCCTTTTATGTATCTGGAAATGAGCTTTTTAATGAGAACAGATTTGATGTTAGGGCTGTGGAGGAGTCATAGATGGGGTTTTTACTTTTAAGTTATATAATTTCCATCCCCAAGCCCATAGCTATTTTGTTGGTTTTAATGTTAGGAAAGATTCTTAGCATAATCCATTTTGACCTTGTAGATAACATAGGCCATAGATTGCAGTCTGTGATTGCTGGTTTTAGCTTTTAGAAGATAAACATCTTTAAAAGCAGTCTCTACTATCATTCTGCATACTTTTTAAGGTAAGCTATGTGCTAATGTTTATAATAAACTGGTTTCCAAATTCAGTAGTGCTGACTGATCTGTGCATGCATATTTCAAAAGTATGCTGTACAGATGGGTGTTGCCAGTGGAGAGAGGAGATTATAGAACAGGTAGGGCTTGGCTTCTCACTCTGTGCTGCTGTTTGGAGTATTATCCAGTGACAGAGCAACATCTGTCTGTTCTTAATATACGTTTCCACAGTGCAGTCTGGTGTTTACAGCATGGGATATTTGAAGACTGCCCGTTTTATTCTCAGCCAGGCCTATCACTAGTATGCAGGATTGTTCTTAACCCCTGAGCTGCCTTCTGTCCTTTTGATCTTCAGGATTTTGCCACCCTAGAGCCCTGAGTTGCCTTAATTTATGAGTCTACAGCTTTCCACAGCCAGAGACTACAATTACATGTGTCTAATACTTTGTTGCTATTTAGAAATCAGTCTTGCTCGCTGCAGAGCAAAGGAGCAAGGAATAAGTGCTGCTCCTGCAGTGTCAGCTGCTGCTATTTAATAGGCTGATCAGTGACTTCAAGGGATGCAGCACTGACTTTATTTCTCAGAGGAAGATGGTTGCATGGCACGTAATGCAGGATGGTGTTCTTTGAAGATTTTATGTGTGTGGTTTTATAGAACCACACGTTGATATGAACCCTGTCATACTGCAGTGGCAGGCAGTGTTTAAGGTCTGGTTAAATATTAGCAATGCTTCTATCTTTTATTTACACGTGGAAATAGCAACTATGCTGAACACTGCTTTACAGTATTTACATTTTAAAGGCTTCTTTGGATTTCTTTTTTTTTAATAGTGTTGACATTTTTACAAACTAGGAGTCAAAAGGCATAGTATGCATATTTTATACAAAATGTGATTATATCTTAGCAACTAGTAATGTGATGGAGATCAGAAGTGCTGTCACCATTGAACAAACAAGTTAGATTCAAATATGTTACTTGGAAAAGTGCAGAGAGAAGGACGAATTGATTAGAATTATCTGAGAGTCACTGATGTTCACTGTTTTATTATTTCATTTCTGTTTTCCATAGCCATCTTGAAACTATGTGGAAATGGGGTAGTGGAGATGATTCTCCTTCCAAAGCAGTAGTAAGTAATGAACTACTTTTCAGTAATAATTTCTCTAATGGATGTTATGCTAATAATATGCATTTGCTCTTTCATAAAGAAGTTGCTTAATTGCTTTTACCATCATTCGCTTTTATGACTCTATAAGTCAAATTGGATTCTTGCTTCCATTCTGCGTGATATATCATAACACAACTGCTCTGCTTCTCTTCATTATGCTTACATTGTTTTAAGAGAAAATTCAGGGAAATTTTATGGGCTTTATCCCAAGTGTGTTATTTGTGCATAGTGTTCAAGTAAAATATTTTGTTATCTCCAGGTCCAGTAACATCCAGGTCCAGTACTACTGGATGCCATGATGAAAATCCAGTAGTTAGGAAAATTCAGCCTTTGTACATTAAGTTGCTCAACATTTGGCATAGCTATTAATTATTTTCATGATTTGTTTAGCCATTCAAAATCAGTGCTGTCGATCTCCTTAGAGGAAAAAAAAATGTTATTTTAAATGAACTATTGCTATACTTACGTTAAAGCTTATTTTGGAAGAAGTCTTATTGAGGGAAAGGTGAGGGATAATGGTTTTTATTTCTGCTTCCTTAAAAAAAAATAAAGCTTTCTTTAAAGCCTCAAGTAGAGTTAGCTAGATCCACTTGAAATCTTTCAGGTTTCTTTTTATGATTCCGCACAGATCTTAGATCAGGGACAGAAAGGAAAGTTGCTGTACAAGAGGATATATAAGGATGAGGAAAAGAAAGAAACTGCAAGGAATTTCTGAGGTGGCAAAATATAGGGATTGATTGGGTCTAAACAGAATGGTGGAATGGTCTGACTGAGCCAGAGTACAGTGAGGAGTGTTCATACTTAGAAGAAAGCAGATCATTAAAACTATGTTGCAAGATCTTTTTAACATGGTTTTATATAACCCCTTCTGTTACTATATCTGTCAAACTAGCTGTGACCAGTCTGGTATGTGCACATTATAGTAGATGCATGTTTTAATGTTGTGTTCTAAAAAGATTTGCTGTATGTGTTTAGAAAACAAACACACCCTCTTGCCTTTCAACACCCCCCCAGAACCCCCCCCCAAAAAAAAACCCAGACCAAAACGGATGATTTTTTTGCACAAGGAGCATTGTCTGCACCATTTTGTTTGTTCAAAGTGTAGTTAATGTCTGCAGGCTGCGGGCTCACAAGATGCAAAAAGTATGTCGGTGACGGATTTGACTGAACAGCTGGCAAGTACTGAGCAGCTGGTAGTACAGCTAAAGGAGCTTGTTCGAGAGAAGGATGCTGAGCTTCGAAATAAAGATCATCAGTTAAAGGTACCGTGTATGTGTTCCTGTCAAAAAGACTGTTAAAAAAAACCAACACTTCAGTCCTGTTTGTCATAAGCTAATTTTGTATGTAAAAGCTTAACAGTCAGCAACTGGAGGAACTTCAGGATGCGTTGATAACAATTAGCTGTTACAGATACCTGGATGTTCTAGCCTTTTGTCAACATATTGTCTGTTCCAAAAGTTAACTGAGTTTGAATGTTGCACAGGCAGCAGTCTCTTCAGTCTCTTCTAAAATTTTGTTTTGGGTTTAGATTTCTTAGTTTTGTTTTTAGATTTTTATCTGTTTGTTTGTTTTTAATGGGACACTTGAAGGACGCAGTTGCTCACGGAGCTGATTTAAGTTCTTCATGACTCTGATGTTTGTAGGAGGAGAAGGAATCTGCTGATGCCAAACTTTCCAAAGTGAAGCTGCAAAACAAAGCCAAGGTTGCATCGTTAACCTCACAACTGGAAGAACTTAAGAAACAGTTGTCAGCATCAGGAGGCTCAGAGGAAAAAGCAGAACCAAAAAAGGTAAGTGCTTTTAAGCTCGAAAGTGAACGGTTTAATATGCTAGACTTGAATATGGAACTGAAGTCCCAATTTGAGCTGCTTTGATCAGGTTACAATTAAGATAAACTTTGTAGTTGCTATCTGCCAGACTGTATATTTCTATCTAATTTATTTTGCTATAGAAATTTAGAAAATTGTGCATCGCTTTCAAATTGTTCTAGTTAAATAAAAAACTAAAAAATTATACTGCTGTTTGTCTTATTAGCATCTCAGACTCTTCACACATGAGTCAGGAATATGTTTTTGAGAGGAAATGAAACTAAGAAACCCACCTTGTAATTTTAATAACCAGAACAACCATGGTAATCTAAAAATGGCCTTGGAAGCAAAGTTTGGATTAAATGTAGTAATCTTTTGGTTTAGCTGACCAGTATTTTACCAGAAACACAGATTTCTTAATTTGTTTGTAGTAGTGCTTTCATATGAGTAGATTTGTTTTCCTTCAAAAAAGCATGTTTTAATGTCATGTAACTTCTGTAATAACTTTAGTGAGACTTTAATATTTGACTAATTATTTGAATATCTGATTTATTTTCCTAGCAAGATGTGCTGTTAGCAATTGGGTTTGATTTCTTTTGTAATGGCAAATAATTTCTATAATCCAGTCATTGTGCCTTCTGAATTCTGATTGGAAATATTGTGCTTTGGAGGGATTTAATTGACTCTTTTTTCCCCACTCCCTCCAATAGTCTCTTCTTTCCTCTGTTGTTATATTGGTTACACTTGCCAGGTTATGTGGGTTACAATGGCCAGAGGAAATGGCCCCCCCTTCTGCATGTTTCAGTTCACTTTGCATCAATAATTATCATTAATAATTTAAATACAATGATTTCTACATGCTTAATAGGAATACCATGCTGCCTTTGTTTAGCTTCTTGGATTTGTGTATAAGGGAATGGAAATACCAACCGTGAGTAAAGAGTACTTTATTTCACCATTATTGTAGGAATAGGTGGAGGTATCCCAAAATCAGTCACTACCTATTTATGGTATTAAAGACTCCATGTTTTTTGCAGGCATCAAGAGATGGTGACCAGGAAAATGCTGCAGCAAATCGTGGGAAAATATTGGTGCTGAGAAAGAGAATTGAAGAACTGGAATCCCAGATTACACAAAAAAATGAAGAGTTACAAAAAAAGGTGGTAATTTAAGTGATGCTTAGTGTGTATTTTTTCACGTTTGTGGTGCATGATTATATTTAAAGGCTAAACAGATGTTCAGAGAGAGTTTTTGGTTGAGAAGAAAGAGAAGGATATATCACAGAATCACAGAAACACCAAGGTTGGAAAAGACCTACAAGATCATCCACTCCAACCATCCACCTATCACCAACAGTTCTCACTAAACCCTCAACATGTCCATGTTATAATGTTATAACCTGCTTGAGAAAATACAGTAATAGTTGTTCTGTTGTGTCTTCAGTTAATGAATTCTCTAGAATACTTCTATGGTATTTTGATAGTAAATGGAAAAGGAAAAATTGTATGACCTGTGTGGTTTAATATCATCTTTAAACCTTTTATTTTCAATGAAAATGCTGTTTTACTTCAGTTGCAAAAAGCAATTCATGACAGAAAGAAATGCAAGCAAGGAATAATTTCATATTATGTGTTTTGTGCAAATTGCTATTGACTGTAGAAAGTCAGGAATGCGAGTGCTACAGAATTTCAGTGAGAAACAGACTTAGTAATTAAATGTTATGGCTAAAACCACATTATAAATGTGGTGGCAGTTTTTTCAGTAACTTAAAATAGGCTGTAAGGAGGTAGTACAAACTGGTCTTCTGTACTGTAGATGATAGAAGTATAGATTACATGCTGTGTTGTCTTTTCATTTTCAGGATGCTGAACTGGAGGCTCAGCGCTGTCGGGGGACTGAAATGGATGCCATGCTGGCAGAGAAAGAAAAGAAGTTAGCTGAAAGAGATGCCTATATCATCGATTTACAGATAGCATGTGGATCAGGTGGTGTTAACAATGAAGTACTCTTGCCCAATGAAGAGCTGAAGGTATATTTCATAGCAATTTCAAGGAACCCAACAAACCCTGCTGTTATATGATCAGTCCTTTTCTGAAGCATAAATAATCTGTTGTTATTCATGTGACTACAATTTCTTCACTGATTATCTCATTTATTTTGTTAGATCTAATATTTATTTACTTTAGTCAGTATCATTAGTACCGACTTTGGAATCTGTTGACAAACTTCATACAAATTTATACTAAACCTGGATTTCTAGTTTAATGTTGCTTAACATTAGAGGAAAGGCTAGTAGGTGGTTCGTGGTGATTGCTTTTTCTTTATTCTGGAGCCATTCTTCTTATCATCTTATGGTTTGCATTCTAAAGAACGAGCTGTCCATTAAAGAATCATCCCTACAAAGCATGCAGATTCTTGTTCAGCAACTTAACAAGAAGGTTGGAGACAGTGAAGAAAAATGCAGTTTGTTCCAGGAAGAGATTGAGAGTCTTAAAAATGTTCAGAGCAATGAAAGAGAACGTTTCCAAAAGATGGAAGCTACATATATAGAAAATGTAAGTAAGCACTGTTAAAATACTTACATTTGTTGGTGGAAGAAGTGATGTCTTAGCTGTAGTAGTGCTATCTCAATATCTGAGAAAAGCTGTTCTTAATTTTCAGCGATTCTTGAGTTAAGGTCTAAATAATCATCAGATGAAATAAAAACAATGAGTCTGTCAGTAGATGGTTTGTACAGGTGATTATTGAAAATGAAAGTATTGTGCAAGGAAGGATTTTAACGTTGTGCCTGATGTCTGTGCACAGAAGAACTGGAATGTAAACGAGTGAAATGAGTTGTGGAGCATTCTAGTAGAAGAACCTCCAAACCCTCTTCCTTGTGGCACCATTCCTGAAGGTGCAGAAGTGTACACATGCAGTGTCTAGTGGTCTTTCTGAGTTATTTAACCATTCTGAATACAATCAGTATCCTCTTTTTCAGACTGAACAATCCCAGTTCCCTCAGCTGTTCCACATACAGTTTTTGCTCCAAACCCTCCACAGCTTCATTGCCTTTCTCTGGACATGCTCCAGGGCCTCTGTGTCTTTCTTGTCATTTGAAGTTTGTTATTGTAGAATTGAGGCACATTTCATGCAAGTTAGAGATTTATCTGTATGCATCATTGTCTTTGGTAATGACTGACTGATTACTATATTTGCTACTAAGCGGAAGCAAAACTCAGACTTATGGAACTCATTCTCTTGCTGTACTGTAGTTACTTCGGTGTTCTTTTAATGTACTTTTCTGAACAGGTTTCATATTTTCTTTGTATGCGTTTTCAGGTCCGTGTGCTTCAAAATATAATTCATGAGAAGGAAAAAGAGCTGGAAACACAGGGAAAAAAGCATGAGCAGGAGCTCTTTAAATTAGCTGCTAAATCTGATGCAAGTGCTGACTTAGAACAGGTATGTTGCTTTGGAAACTCGGTAAATTGCTTTGACTTAGCTCTGGGAGTTTGGAATAATGTAATTAACAACCAGTATCACAGAATCTGAGAGACCTCTGTGACACTGTTCAAGTGTCTTGTTTGGAAACTAAAGATAAGACGTTCACTTTGTCTTCTGAAAGTGTTAACCTCTATATTGATAGTTTGATTTTTTTGCTAGTTATTAAAGGCCTTGAAGCAGAAGCTCCATGAAAAGGAAGAAGTCATGCTGGGAAGAACACAGGTGATAGATGTGCTGCAAAAAGAACTGGATGCCAAGGACCAGGAGTTGAAAGTAAGAAATATCATATATGCCCTGCTCAACTCACCTGGTCAATTACAAGTTCCGAAAACTATTGATTGTGTACAAAGATGATTCTATGTAAAATACTTCAGCAGTGCTCTGGGTGGTCTTCGCACATGCTGATAATGTAATCATGATTGTGCAAACAAATATTAATTTCGGTTAGGAAATGAATTTTAGGGAGAAATAGATCTCATGAAATACAAAATTGTCAGTTGTCACCTGTAGTTTTGATTCATTTATTATATATGAAAGACTTTTTGCTGTCAAAAAACTTCAGTTTCTCTAGTTAAGAGTTTTGGAGATATCTCCAAAACTGAGGCTTTCTTTTTTTTCCCTAAAGAGAATGTATTGCTAGTATGTGCCCTTCCTTTTGAAGTATTTTTACTGATTGCAAAACCCATAGCTAATCAGGGCTCTTTGTGTTTAAGCACCTATTGTGAACCCTGATTATAGCCTTTTGAGTGCTGCTACTTCAGTTCAACAATGTAGGAAAAGGACATTGCAGTCCCTCAAGCTTTTGATATTCTTTGCTGAAACAACCTGCCAGCAACTTAGCCATAATATTTCTAAATATTTTCCACTTGCCAAGAGGGTTGTCAGACTCACAATCTATTAGAAATTATTTAAACTATGTATGTAACCAGGTAGGCATCCTATCCTGATGACGTAGTCAGGATCCATAGCAAAAAATGAGTGATCTACAAACTGTTATCCTAGCTGAATCAGTGCTTTATTCATCCTTCACATTTATTATGTTTTGTGCCATATGCAGGCTTTTGGTTTTTGTTTTTTTTTCCTTGGGGTTAGATGCATCTTGGAGGAAGATGCTCTACAGGAATAGTACCCAGTGCTAATGCATTGAGGGGACAGAAATGCACAACTTGAGGATAGTGGGAAGGGTGAAATATGACGACATGAACTTAGAGCAATTTTAACTGTGATGGATCCTTGATCTTAGTATCAAAATAGCAGGAAGTCTTCCTTTACATAAGCAGTATAATCACGTTTTGAAAATACTGTCTGCTGTCCTTCACAGCCTCTTTATGTGGACAGTTTATGGATTATGAGTGTTGGCTTTTGTACAACAAATCTAATCTGGTGATCTGCTGTCATACTCTGTTGGGGAGATCTGTAATCTTTTCTAGCTCCTATATTATAACTAATGTGAAAGCACTGAAAGTAGAATAAGCACTAACAGAGAACTAGTTAGCAAAAGGATTCTGTAAAAAACAATTAGATTGTAGTTTGCTAGTTTAAATTCTAACTAATGTAAATAACATCTAAATGGTCTTGTAGTGAACATTCTCAATCCTTGATAGCACTGTTAGATCTTGCAGTTTTCCTGTACACCATACATCAAAACATTCATTTTTATTCCACTTTTGCCATACAACTATGGGAAATGTTGTATGTAGTTTGCACCCAAAAATAACAGTGCTGTTTTTTGAAGTTCCCATATAGCCCTTTGAAATTGAAGCTGAGCCAGTTGGCCAAAAGCAGCACCCTTTTCTGATTATAACATGATGAAGTGTGTAAGAATGCACATATAATGTTTCACAGTGCTACTGAAAATACTTCATATAAGAAAATAAACTTTTTTTTTTAACAGGAGATTACTGAAAACATGAAACGTCTGCAGTCTGAAAAAGAAAACCTCCAGTCCAAACTGGATGCCGAGAGGCATGTATTGAGAGCACAGATAAAAGACATGATGGAAAAACACATGCTTGAAATGACAAAAGTCAGGGAGAAATACAATGCTGAGCTGCATGAAATTCAAGAGAAACATGAAACTGAGCTGCAAGAGAAAGATCAGGCTCTGTTTCAGCTTAAGAAACAAGTGGCAGAACTAACTGGTAGTGGGCAGACTAACTCAAAAGATGTTGCAGATCTAGAGTCTACATCCAAAGAGAAGATGGAAGAATTAGAAGGTATCCTATTTAAAAAGTTGTCATGTATGAACTTACTTTGTGCCATACCCTTTCAAACTGTATGCCAATTTCGTTTGTTTTTCAAATAGAACTCCATAAAATCCACTGGAAAAGTTATCACCACAAAAAGTATGTGTGCAGAAGCACTTTTATGAGGGTTATGGGAATGTAAAGATATCACTGTAAATTGATCACTATATTTCTTAATGTTTTTCTTCTCTAAATACAGTTGTCTTGTTTAAGTGTTACTTTCAGTTGCTAAAGAAATTAAACATCCTTTACTGATAATGATCTGATCTGGAGCACAGATCCTATGAGGAGCGGCTGAGGGAGCTGGGATTGTTTAGTCTGGAGAAGAGGAGGCTCAGGGGAGACCTCATTGCACTCTACAACTTCCTGAAGAGAGATTGGTGAAGAAGGGTTTGGCCTCTTCTCCCAGGCAACAAACAGGACCTGGGGAAATGGCCCCAAGTTGTATCAGAGGAGGTTTAGGTTGGATATGAGGAAAAACTTCTTCTCTTAAAGAGTTGTCAGGCACTGGAATGGCCTGCCAAGGGAGGTGGTGGAGTCGCCATCCCTGGCAGGGTTCAAGAGGCGTCTGGGAGAGGAGCTGTGAGATATGGTTTAGTGCTTGTGGTAGCAGTGGTAATGAGAAGATGGTTGGACTAGATGATCTTATAGGTCGTTTCCAACCATGTAATTCTATGATTCTATAATAATCGTTCTAGGATTTTAAGTAATTTTTATGCCTTGCTTTTTAGTACAATTGAAATTGAAGACAGAAGAGGCCAGCAAATCTGAAGCTAAGTTTCTGAAAATGAAGGCTTGGTCTAAATCAAGAATCAAGCAGTTGGAAGATGAGCTGAAAAATGTATGTGCAGCGTTTTTTAATGCTACAGACCTGTTTTTAAAATGTCTTTACCTGACTGAAAGAAGTAAACTATGGGGTAAATAGAATATTGAAATAATTTATTCAAAATAGCTATGTATAAAAATTGAATGGAAGCTAAATGTTGATACAGGAGGAAATTGCAACAACAAAAAGTACAAATTTTGATGCATTTATAAAGCTTACAGCTGCTTTTTATTTTAGTTTTCATCGAAGAATAATGATCTGTCAGCCTTGAACAATCGTGTGTCAGAATTAGAAGCTGAAAAAGAAGAACTGGAATTAAAACTGCAATCATTACAAGAAATCAGAACTCAGAACGGTAAAACAAGGAAAAAAGCTAACAAAAATATCTTTTTTACTACTCTATTGCAGATGGTTCAGAGTAAAGAGGCAAGGAGGGCTAAAATGGACTTTTGACATGTTTGTTTTAAATTTCCCATATATATCTTCAAACAGATTTGGAAGTAACTTCATGCTGCTTTGAGCAACAGTATACACTACTTAACTCAGAGTTGCAACTTGGTTGTTCCTTTCCTAAACCTTCTTGTGCTTTATAGTTCAGGCCTTGTTGTATTTGACAGAATGCGTATCAGGTTCTCTAGTAAATTGGAAGAGGTATTTTATTAGGATGAAAAATAAGAACAAGCATATTTGGAAAAATGTAACAGAGTATGTATAATAAATGATAAAGAGCAGTGAGCTTAAATTAAGAATTATCTCAAATGTTTTTTTTTCTTGTATAAAGATTTTGAGAAAAACTTTTGTATAAAATCTCAGAGTGGTAACTAGGCTTAAAATACAGCTCAGAGAGATTATTTTTGTCTTGTTAGTTTTTATGACATTCTTTTTTTTTTTAATGGAAAATGGTAAAATTTTCAGTTTAGTGGTCTAAATTGTTAGCAGATTAAATTTAAAACACTCATAATTACTTAATAAGCAAGAAGTCAGTCTTGTGGATAAGCAGACAGCACAGCTCAGCACAGGGCTTCTTATTGAAATCAATCATCTAAATTTCCATTTTGAATCTTTTTTCTATGCTTTTATTGATTTTCCTGTGGTTTTGCGTCATAACAAACCTAGTTCATGATTTTCTTTTTGTAGAAGAATTGCTGACTAAGCTAGAAATCTATGAAGAGCAGCAAAGGAAGTTGCAAGCTGATCTTGACCAAGTTACAAAGAGAGCAGCTTCACAGGTTAACTTTAAAATTGATTTGTATGAATTGCTGATTGGCTCAAACGGCACATTGGGAAGTATGTTCATTGAATCTTAGTGCTGAAGATGAGTGATAGATGAAATTGAGATATCAGTAGCTGTTAAGGAACAAGCTGACAGGATTTGAGTTAATTAACAGTGGATTTCTACATACCTTTTCACGTACTTTAAATTGTTTCCCTGAACTGCTTATGATATATTTAGTTACATTTAACAGAAATTATTGAAGTGTGACTTCTTGTTACTTTGTGTATGACCTGAGTAACTTCCAGAAGAAAATAACAGATGAAATCTTAACAAATATCCAGGTATGGATGGCAAAGGGAGAAGATTTAGAAAATTATCCCAAAAGACTTCTAGATAGATTAAAAGCATATGTTTCTCTTAGTGCTAAGTGATTTTGTACAAGCCCAACAACAAAGCCAGTTTGAACATACTTTGCTGAAAGTGTTATCTATGAACTTTAATGAAATTTTTTTTGTTTGTTTGATTGTTAAATTTATAAAATGAGGCTTTCTTTTGAGGGGAAGGCAGAAACATTCTTATTCTACTCATGGATAAAAGTAATAGAGATTTCTTAAGGAAAGGAAGTTAAATATTGTTCTACTTTGAAATATTTCAAGATGAAAATGTAGAAGAAAAATATTTTGGTTAAAAAAACCACTTCTTGTTTGAAAAGTATTTTAGATTAAAAGTGCAACTGGCAAGTAGCATTTTAGATATTTTGCTAAGTGGTGAGGTTTGCTTTTTATACCATCTACGATAATGTCTTCATTTTCATAGATATTTATGTGGAGTGGTGAATAATATAGATAATTTTCTCTGTGAATGGCTTACAAAATTAAAAAGTCATTTATGTTCATGGTGGGATTTGGTGAATATATTTTCATGCCCACTTTCTCTTGTTAGGCTAGTGAATCAGGTAGTGTGGATGAATTGCAGAGTCAGCTCTTGGAATGGCAAGAAAATGTACCAGAATCAGAGGAGTCACGTGATCGAGTCAGAGAAGAGAAATCTGCTATGGCTTTGAGAATGGCTCAGATTGAGGAGGAGAGAGAAGGTGGGTTGCTTTTCTTAGTTAAATTATCACATACATATGATGTGCGATCACATCTTATATGTTTGTGTGTTCTACTGCAGACTGAATTTATTCTGTTCTACCATGACTAATTTATGTAATCCTGAGAATTATATATAGCTAGTGAATTTGCTTAAATTTGCAATTTTTATTTTTTTCCTATGTCCTTGAATCTTTTTTCCATATGTTCATTTTTTTTTCTTTGTATCATTTTTATGAGTAGATGTGCTTGTTCTGTTTTCCCTCCAAGTTGCTGCTCTGTAAGAAAGCTTGAACTTACTTCAGAAGTGTACTGTCCACATATGAATGAACAGTGCTTAAAAAGTTCACCGTATGTTAAAGCTGCCTGCCTTGAACTGGGAGTAAAGGTGTGGGAAACTGTGGTACTGGTTTAAATTTGATATTGGGTGGTGCTTTAGTAAAATGCAGGACAAATTTTCCCTTTAAATGTCATTAATCAGGAACTTTCCTTTAGTAGTCTGTTAACAAGTGTCAGTTGTGTGGTTGGTTGAATAACAGTAAGTGTTACAGAAAATAACATTTTGGGTGATCTCAAGTATTGAAGTTTTCTAAATTATTAATTAAACAGTTGGTGAGAAAGTGAAGCAGCTTCTGTTAAGTCTCATAAAAGTCTGGTTAAATTTCAGTTAGTTTTTACTGCTTATTTCCCAGACCTCTTAGTACTTCATTATAACTTTTGTCCCATTAGTTAATGGATTAACAGCACATTTTAGTGTCCACAACCTACCATCATAATTAATTCAGTTGGAGAACTTGAGTCTTCTCTTTCTAATGTGCAATTGATAAATTATTTTTCATTTAAAGGATGAATTTGGAAGTTCAGTATATAAGCATAAAAATGTTTTAAAGATCTTGTCTCATCTTTTTGAGAGTTTTACCATGTAATGCTTTGGATGAGAATAATATTCCCTTCACTAAAACTACCTGTTATCTCATATGTGGTAACTACAGATCCACATGCAATATTAATAGCAGTTGTAAAATTTCATCTGCGTCAGTCTGTGTTTAATTTTGCATTTTTTCCCCTTGGGATAAGCATGACCTTTCTGTTTCTGTTTTTTTTTTTTTGGTGTTTTTTTTCCTGCCGTTACACCTGATGAGCCCTCAGCGTCCCTTCCCCCTCCGCTCCTACCCTACACTGCGATTTGGTCAGCCAGTGAGAACATAGTTTCCCATCAGTTTTGTGCATGCAGGTTCCTGCAGCAATGGCAATTTGTAATGTACTGTTGCTGATTTCTTCTGATGATGGTTCTTTTGAGGAAATTGCCAACAGTACCTTATAATGTTTGCCATTGATGGTACGTGGGTTTTAACAGTACGTGTAACAAATGCTGTCTTTCAACTTAATTTTTTTCCCTCTTGCAAAGCCAATTTCTTCATTTGCATTAACCGAACCATGTTTCTTTATTTTTCTTTGTTATAACAGCTGACTCCATATTTCTAGAGGAAAAAAATTCTTAGCTTGCTGCAACTGGATATAACTAAATAAGAATTGAATTTATTTAGAAATTGTTAATAGAAATTGAAATTCAGTAGCATTTAAAAAGAAAAGCAATTATATTCCCCCATGTAAGTTAAAGGATTTATTTGCATTAATATTAGTTACCAATATTTTAAGCAATCTAGAAACCCACTACTCATTCTGTCATAGACTATGGGAATTTGCCAAGAGCTACAAAATCCTAGGGGGATGATAGCGTTGACTGATGTCTATAAACTCTAGCTTGTTTCCTCTGCAAACTACTGAAGATTGTAACATGAACAGTAACACACAGAAGTATAGATACATTTTTGGTTAATTTGAATGTACTGTGAATCAGAATAAAAGTGTTTTGTTCAGGTTTTTACTTCAGATATAATTGCAAATGAAAGGCTTCCTATGCTGCTGCAAAACATTAGAAAATATATTTACTTACTAACTGTTGTTAAAGTAATGCTGAATTTAAATGAAAGTGTTTTAATGTTTAACAAAGGATTCTACACCATTCTAAAGCTCCAATTTCTACATTGTCATTTTTCATCTGACAATGGTAATGTCATCTTTTCTTTCACTATCAAAACCAAAAATAGTTGGTTTCCTAAAGGATAGTGTACTTTTCATTCTGATGATGCTTAAAAGCAGATGTCTTCAATTTAAACTTGAAGGCATTTAATTTTTTTAAAGAAGAAATTAAATTCTGATCTCAAATAACATTTCCTCTTTGGATTGCTTCCTGGACTACAATAATGGTTCTGTAAGCAAAAATTTAAGGTGATCAGAATTTGGCATTTTTATATATATATACACACACATATATGCTTTGAAAAAGCATGTGTAGTGATTAAATACAAAATAAAAATAAAAGTTGAATCCATGTTTACACAAAAGTGTGCAGAATGAATGCTGATAAAGTGACAGTGCAAGAAACCAAAATTTAATTTAAACCATAAGGGAAATCCAGTTCTGCAGTCTTGCTTAAATGGCTCTTAAAGGTTTTCTTTAACTTTTTTGCTTGAATCTTTTATGACTGTTAAATATGTAGTTTTTAAATATTACAGGAAGAACTTTACTCTCATCTAATAGGCAGTATAGGAGTGTGCTTTAATGAAATCTGTTGAATAAGTTGTCCTTGTACAATTCAGATGAAAGGTGAGCATTCCCAGTATGACGTAATAGTTTTTGGGTTATACTTCACTGATGCACAAGTAAAATGTTGTCTGAATTTCACATGTTATGAAGACAACTGTGTATTGATATGGTTAAGTTGAAAGCTATACCTGAGATTGTCTTATTTTCTGTTGAAGTATGGAGCCACCTTTACTTTCATTTCTTTTCACCAGCTGTTCTGTCTTGTCTGCTTTGCATGATACACCTGTTACCTAATCTGTCACCCCAAATGTGTTTTGTCATATCACAAAACAGATGGGAATGTACTTAAAATGAAAAAGCGTTTCTAACAATGAACAAGATGCATACCTTAGCTTTCATATTCTGAATTTACTCAGTGTGCTTTTTAAAAAAAAAAAACAATGGTTCTGTATTTGTCTTTAAAAGAATGGTATTTTTAATGTATGATAAGATGGTTTGATGCCAGTTGCAGTGTAACACTTGCTTGTGACTTCCTCAAATTATCATACTCATACTAAAATTGAAGTCGAAATAGACACATTACTTACATGAAATTGATGTGATTGTTCATATTACAAAAAGCACAGCTGTCTCAGCTGATATTATTATACAAATTGGGTATATTTTAACCTGGTAAATCAAAAGGCTATGTAATTTGGCCTTTAATTGGTTGAATTTATTATTATTGTTATTTTAGCGTAACCTCACCCTTTCCAATCTCTTGTATTAAGACTTCCTTTAGAGTGATGAAGAAGTAATGCTAGACTTCAGTTTGCTTCTTCTTAATGAGATATACAGTGTTTATTTTTGTGTTCTACTAAGTAACGTTGGAGGGAAATCACAAGGTGAATGCTGTGGATTGCTTCTTTAATCTTGTTCTGTCAGTCATTCATAGGGACTTCAGCCTGTCCCAGGTCTCTTTTCATGTAGTAGTGTCTGATATAATTGTAATTACTTTCCTGTGGCACAAAACTGATTGAGGATGACTGGTTCTTTCCTGGCTGCTCTGATCCAGCCATAGTCTCAGGGCAACAGGAGCTGGAGGAGGAACTGACCACAGTTCAAGGAATGGGCAGGCTGGATCAGGAGGGAAGAAAAAGTAATCAGACCAACAGGAATCTGAAGGTGGGTTAGAAGTTACACGTATCTATTTTTACCTGAATGTTAATGAAAATGTGATGCTTTACAGTTGGATAGGTTAAGCGCTTATGAGTTTAGATCTGTTATGTAAGTGAATACTAGACAGATTTGGTAGTAAATTTTAAATGCTTGTGAATGTAGCCTGAAGGTGAGGAGCAATTCTAGTGGCATGACAGTTCTCTGTTCCTTGAGTCATGAGCCTGCTTAATTTTATGTTGAAAAATTATGAGTCTCCCACTGGAGTAATTCATATCCTTGTAGCTGTGTACAAGCTTTGTATGTTAAGACCATGTTTTGTATTAGATACAGTCTTTATTAATTTCTTCAGGGAGATTTATAGAATAGTTAGTAATTAGTGTCAGTTCATTCGGGTTAACGTTTTGGTACTTGGTGCTGTTGCTTGCAAAAAAAAAATCCCAATATTTTATAAGAATAATTAGAATGTCACTTGCATAAACTTGCTGTTGGAAGAATAATTTTATGTTTAGTTAATTCCAGTACTTCACCCTGATTTTCAGAGGATGCTATTAACTGTGGAAACTGGAACTAATTAACGTTTCCAAACACAATTATCTGTTGGCCTCTCAGATGCCTGAGGGTGTCTTCAAAGCTGTAGTAGGTCCTGCACAAAGCCTGTGGAAGACTCTGCTTCTCTGGAAATGGCAGTTTGAGGCTGGACAGGTGTCCATAGTGGTTACATATGCTTACATTTATGCACCTGATTCACTTGCTGGATTTTATAATATTTAACTGAAACTAGACTTCTAATAACAGAATATGTATTTTAACCTTCCTTCTTTTCTTCTTTTAATTAAATGTCATTCTTATATTTTGCACGTAGGAAGAGTACAGCTTTGATAGAAAACAGTGCTTTCAAGAAGCATTGAATGTGACCCTGGATAGCACTGATTCAGCTGAAGGAGAAAATATGGGAGGTTGGTGGCCAGAATACACTTCACCTAATGCAGGTGTGATAGAGACTAGACAGTTTATTATAGCATGCACAGCATCTGTATTTTGTGTCTATTTTTGTTTTCAAAATTCAACTAACAACCCATTTGTGGTGTATTCTATTCTTTGTTGAATTTTTTTTGGCTTGTGTTTTCTTTTGTTTCATTTTAAGCATGTGCGTGCTGGATGAACTGCCTAGTTTTGCTTCAGAAGTAGAATATAAATATTATTAAATGCTGGAATTGTTTGAGCCTTGCTGCCTGTGAAGTACCCTATGTGGCAAGATCGTGTGGTTTTTAAGTTGAGTCTTGTTCCTGTGAGTGTGTTTCCAATCTACATAACTGTTTTGTTTGGAAAACAGAATTATATAGTACTGCTGTGTGCTTTGTTTTAAAGATCAAATAGCTGGTTTTTAGTGTGGATGCTCTTCTATCTGTGGTATAAGCTACTAGTATGTGTTGTTAGTAAAATGGAGTAGATGCACTTGCAAATTTTGATATAGACTAGTTTACTTTGTTAATATAGTTTAAAATCTGATCTTGTAAGTATATTAACTCATGAATAAAGTAACATCACCCTTATTATTAATCGGGACACAATATTGATTAAAATATTTCTGCTAAGTTCTCTATGAGTTACTGAGTTTTGCAAGTAGATTTTAGTTTTTGAAAAGTTATGGGTACGTTTATCATTTAATATTTGCATGTACAAGACCTCAGGCATTTCCACTGGAAGTGGCTGAGATCTAATTGTGCCCAACAATGGTGAAAATTGTGAATATAAAGGTGAAAGTCTTTTCTAGACTTAAGAATTTTTTAATAGATCTTTCTTGAAATAATTCTTCCTCTTTGACTTAAATAGGTTTAAGGAGTGTAGTTGAAGAGTTGGAATTGGAAAGAAATCAACTGCAGGAACAAATTCTGTTTCTAGAAGAACGTTGTCAGGATTTGGAAGATAGATTGCAGCTTCAGGGTAGAATGGAAGCTCTGCAGGTGAGCTTTTGCACTTCTCTAAAAACTGCTAAGAGAATCGTTTAGTTCTCTCTTCATATGATTACAACTATAGCCTACAGTAGCACAAAAGTGTAAATTTGCAGCTAGCTAAAATACCTAAAACCTATTTTATAGTTTCTGATGGCTGAAAGTCTACACATGCTATCTTATGCTCTAAAGTTTAAGCCTGTCACTTCTATTCAGCAAAAGTAGAAGTCAGCACATAAAAAATACTTGGTTGGAAGTAAGCTTCATTAATTGTTGCAGAAACGTAGTAAAGGTCAAAATAATTTGTATCACTCTCTGTAGAATGCAGAGAGTTTGTTAAAAGAACAAGAGCTGAATTTTTTTTTTACTACTACTTGAGTAAGTCTCACATCCCTCAAATCATAATTATAGCTCACATACCACATACATATAATATATGCGTAATATAAATACATAACAGATATTTTAATGTATGCTGCAATAAGTGAATGCACCAGAAGAACAGTAACATAAATACTTAAATCAGAATTTTTAAATACTTTTATAGTATTGCCTGACTGGTAAGTTACTACATTCAATACTTTCTAAATGTAATTTCCACAGAATGACACAACTGATCTCTTCTCATGCTCCTTGAGCTTGGTACATTGCTCATATTCTTTACCTGCTAAGTTGCACCTATTTATTTATTATAATTAATTTAAGATACAAAACAAACTTATTAATATCTGAGAATCTTTTAACAAAACCTTTTGATACAGGTAACGTTTGATGTAAAGGAAGAAGGGCAGCTATTGAGGGCGGTACAGGTGTGTTCTGCCTCCTCCAGAGTGCTAGCTTATTTTCATTAGAGGTGACAAGTTTGCCACGTTTGTCCTTTTTGATGTTGGTTCTGAATATGTGTTTTGCTTTTTGGTTGCCATTAGATTTTTTTGTGGTTTTATTTTTGAATGGGTGCTGTGAATCTGACTAGAGTAGGGCATTTGCACTGTTTTGTTTTTTTTAAGTGTGTGAATGGAGCTTGCTCTCTTCTTTTCTCTGCAACTCCCTGTATGCTAATGTGTAGTCTCCTGCGGATTTTTTGTGTTCCTTCAAGTTGAAAAAAACATGCTAAGAAGTTGCCCATTTAATATTATCTTCAAATCAATGAAGAAAGTGTGTTTTCAAAGCAGTAGCTTCCCCTATTGAAGATTAATTAAATAAGGTGCCTTAACACTGTGTGTGTGTGTGTGTGTGTGTTGCTTTGGGTATAGAACAACGATCCTTGAGTTCATTCTATTATAGCATCACTATAGGATGTATTTCTGAAAGGTGGGTTGCATCTATCTGAACTTATGATATTAATGTTGTATTTTGAACTGATGAGTGCTAATATGCTAACAGTCTCTTATTATGTAAGACGTAAATCTTCTAATGAGTCAGATTTTTGGAACTCTAGTTCTTTTATGCTATTCTGTGTGTGCAGTAATCCTCTTGATTAACTTTTTGTTGCAGAATGAAAATGAACGTTTTCAAAGTCAGCTCACCCAGTTACGCAATCAACAGATTCGAGATGCCGAAAAGCATCAAATTCTGATCTCTGGCTTGAATGAGCAGCTAAAAGGGTAAAATAAAAGTTCTTTATAACTCCATTGAGGATTTGCTTTCTTTGCTTTGAATTTAAATTTCTAAGGGACCAGAAGTTAAAACATGTAAACTTGATACTTGTTTCTGATTGCAGTCAAGATATTTTTGGACTTGGAAGTTTAAATGGAAATTGTAGAAATGATTTTTCTTTTAGAAACACAGTTTGGGAGCTAATAAACCTAGAAAGCCTAAAGCAAACTTTGTTTTCAAGATGAAATTTAGTTATCAAAGGTCTAATATGTGCTTTCTTCTCAGGCTGAGCGACCGTAATAGCTTCCTTGAAACTTCACTTGGAGAAAAAGAAGAAAAACTGCTAAGCTTAACAGAAAAACTAGAACAAATTGAAACTTTAAGAAAACTGCTTCAAGAAAGGGATCTGTTGAACAAAGAGCTGGGAGAGAAATTTGTGCATAGTGAACAAAACGTAAGTTACTAAATAGTATATAATTTATTAGATCTGGTGAACGTTGGCCTTAACCTTTGATTTGTATTCCAGAAGCAAAATTGCTGTTTTTCTAGCCAAAGGACTTGGCTTTTTTGTTTCATTGCAACTTTGCTCACATCATGTAATTACTGTGCTTAAAGTTGGGTGTAATGATTACTTAGGCACACCACAGTGATTTGCATGAATGTATTGTGTTTTTTGAGTGAAATGTTGTCTTAATTAATTTCATTATATAAATATCACGTTTAGGTAAGTTCAATCTTATAACTTTAACATCACATTTCAAATATGTTTCTATGATATAAATTTTTATTTTTAATACTAAGCTGAAAGAAACCTTAAAGAAATGCAGTGTGTATGAAGTGGAGAACGCTGAGCAGAAAAAAGTCATCAGTGATCTAACCGAAAAAGTTGCTACGCTGAAGGAAAAGGTAACTCATAAAATGAAAATAAGGAACTTTCTTGTATTTTGAAATGGTTCATTTAAATGTGAGAAAAAAGAACAACAACCCTGAGCATTAATTATACTGTAGATTTTATACACTGACCTTTCTGTATGCTAAAATGATCTAAAATATAACATTATTGTCTTGTGACTGTACTGTTGGGTAGGTAATTGTTACAGTTGATAAAAGTATTGTGGTGTTACAGTTGGAAAGAATATCATGAAGAAATGGAAAGAAACAAACAGAGAAGGAATGCTCATCCATATTCAAAGATTCAGGCTCAGGATGAAAGATTCCACAAAGAAAGGATTTTCAGAAAGAGATCCTTCCCTAGTGCTAGTCAGCCCTTAAATGGGGTCTTCTGGCCACACAAGTGAATTGCCTTCACCTGTGCTCCTGCGGATAACTCAGTCCTTGTCTCAGGTGATCAGTCAGTGGTTCAGGCTGTGACTCAACAGTTTCCATACAGTTATTAGTTCAAAGATTGTTTGTGAGTGATAGATTAGCCTAAATATTAGATTTACATAAGGAGCGTATCTTCCATTTTCCTTCTAATGTACCTTTGAATTATTCTTGTAACATTATTTTCTTGATGTTTAGACTTTGAAACAAGATGATATGGTGGAATCAATGCAGCTGGATCTTGACCAGACAAATGAGGAACTTGACAAATTGAACACAAGCCATTTAGAAGAACGATCTCAACTTATTCAAGATCTCCAGAAACGTGAAAGAGAAATTGATCATCTTAAAGAAGCACTGGCAGAAAAAGAGAAGGAGTTATCTGCCTTGTCTTTGAATATGACGGAATATTCAGAACAAGTTATCGTCCTGAAACATCAAGTGCAATGCAAAAATGAAGAAATACGAGGGATAGAAGAGGCTTTATCAAAGGCTGAAAGGGAGGCTGATTTGCTGAAAGAAGTACAAACAGCCGATGTAAGAGATACAAGTGTGAAAATATCTGTCCTTTCTGAGAAGAGTAATACAATGAGACTAGAACTGGAAAGAGTTAGAGTTGAAAATGAAGCTAAAACCAAAGAAAACGAGGAACTGATAAGACAAATCAATGAGTACAGCATTACAGTTAAGGATCTCCGTTCTGAAATCAATGCCAGTCATGTCGCATACCATAACAACCTTATGGAGTGTGAGTCACAAATTACTTTGTTGAAAGAACAAATTAGCAAATCATCTGAAAAGCTACAAGAAACTGAGACTAAACAAAGAAAAGAAGCTGAATATTTGAAATCTCAGATTGAGGAAAATAACACTCTGAAAGAAAAATGGAACAGTTTGCTTAAAGAGAGAGAGAATAAAGAACAGACTCTTGAAAATGAGTTAAAATCTATTAAAGATTCATACAACAAACTAGTTTTGGAAGATGCTAAAAAAGATGAAGAGTTGGCTCAGTTATCTAGGAAGCTCGTAGAACATGCTGAACACCAGGAAACAATTAAAAAAGAATTACAGGAGAAACAAGAGATCATTATTTCATTAGATAAGAAGCTTGAGTTTTTGGAGCAACGAAATGAAGAGACTAAACTTAAATTAAATGAAGATCTTAAAGCCAAAGAGACATGTTGTGAAGAGCTTACTAACCAATTAAGTGAAATACAGAAACAAATGAACAAGATGGAAATAGAGACACAGGAGAAAGCTTCAGCTAATAAGCAGTTGCAGGCGGATCTTGAGGGGAAAGAAACAAAATTGGCAGAGCTAGTGAAAGCAAATGAACATCTGAAAAAAAGTATAGGTAAAGTGAAAAAAGAGAAGCAACAGTTAGTCAGTGAAAATGAGAATTTGTCCAAACTTCTGGATGTGAAGGAATGTGAATTATTAAAGAAAATCCAGGCTGTGGCAGAAATAGAAAGCAAGTTATCTGTCAGCGATGCTGAATACCAAAAAACTCTTTCAGTACTAAACTGTGAAAAAAACACTCTAGCAAAAGAAATTGAACAACTCTCAATAGCTGCAAAGCAAAAAGAAAATTCAGTTGCAGAACAGCTGCAGAAGAAAACAAAGGAATGTAATGTGTTAGCTGGTCAGTTGCTTGAAAGCAAGGAACAAGCACAACGGTTGAATGAACAAATGCAATCAGTTCTCATTCAACTGAAGGATGCTACAGACAAAGAAACAAAGAAAGAAGAAATGTTTAATAGTAAGTTATCTGAATGCAGTACCCTAATACAAGAGCTCAACCAGAGTAAGGAAAATAATTTACTGCTGCAGGAGCAAGTTCAAAGCTTAACTTTGGATTTTGAAGCTAAGAGCAAGTGTCTAGAAGAAAAAATCCTTCAATGTGATTCATTGCATGAGGAAATTAAAGACAGTAAATCTTACATTGTACAGTTGCAGGAAGAAATTAAAAATCTTGAAGAGGACAAATCAAAGTTATCTCAGTGGGTAGGGGAAAGAGATGTGACTCTAAAAAGTCAGGGTTCAGAACTTGAAAAGTTTCGTAAGCAGGTTTCTGACAAAATTGAAGAAAGTACAGTGTTAAATAATCAGCTACAGCAAGTAAGTAAAGAAGTGACTGAGCTTAAGCATAAAAAGGAGGACCTTTCAAACCTATTGAGCAAGAAGTCGCATGAATTTGAAATTCTTCAGTCACAGTTGCTACAGCAACAGTCTGATACTACTTCTGCAAGGCAACAAGCACACACAGCAGCTCTAGAAAATGAAAAATTGAAAGTAGAAATTGAAAACCTCAATGCAATGATAATGAAAAAATCAGAAGAAATAGCTACTTTAACTTCACATTTGTCCCAACAGAATCACAGTATTTTAGTTCTGAAGGACCAAATTGATGGCCTAGTGGTTGAAAAAGAAAACCTAAAAACTCTCGTAGGAGAAAAAGAAACTCTTATTTCTGAGAAGGACATTTTGCTACAACAAATGAAGGATAGTAAAATGGCAGGAGAAGGGCAATATTTGCAAGTCATTTCAGATCTGCAAAACCAAATACAAACCCTAGGTTTTGAAACCAGCCAGCTTAGACAGACAATGCAGGAAAAAGAAAATGAATGTAAGAGGCAAGCTCAAGAATTAAAGGTACTAAAAGATAAATCTGAAGAGTCTGATATGCTTAGGGTTCAACTGTCTGAGAATATGGAGGTTATTTCTGACCTTCAGTATCAACTTAGAAATTTGACAGAAAAAGCAGCACAGTTGAATGATTCAATTGCACAGAAGGATGAATGTTTAAAACAAAAGATAGATGAATACGTTAGTTTAAAAGCATGCCTTTCTGATGTACAGGAATCATCCATTTTGCAGCAGAAACAGTTAGAGGTTTTGACTTCAGAAGCAGAACAGTTAAAATTACTTGTTTCAGAGAGAGATTTAACTGTAAATAATATTTCATTATTCAGTGAGAATTTAAAGATGCAACTTCAACAAAAGGAGAATGAATGTGTTCTCTTAAAGAAACAGGTAGTGGAGCTAGAGGAAGTAAAAGTGAATTTACAAAAAGAAGTACAACATCAGAAGAATGTAATAATAGAGAAGGATCAGTCCTTATCAGAAAACGAATCATCTCTTACAGAAAATAAAACTCTTCTCAATGCTCTGAAGGAGAAAGCACGGGAAGATGAAGAGAAGATAGATTTAATCTCTCAACTCCAAAGTCAAGTACATGTACTAACACAAGAACTACAAAAATCTAAGGAACTAGTCCAGGAGAAAGAAGATGCCTTTTTGTCTCTTCAGGAAAAAATTGAAGCACAGTATGAACTAAGAACTGAGTTTAATGCAGCTCTTAATAAAAAAGAAGATGATATTGCCGAACTGCTTAATTCTGTGAAGGAGAAGGATTCCAGTCTACAGTTGGCAAATAAAAACATAAGTGTTCTCTCTAATGAGATTGAGATTCTCAAAGAAAGATTAGAGAAAAGTGGTACAGCTATGAAAAACCTTACTAAAGAATTTCAGGAAAAAAATGAAAGCTTTAATATTAATCAGAAGAAAATTGATTCTTTGACAGTTGAGCTTGAGACTGTGAAAAGTGAACATCGTAAAGCACTAGACCAAATAAGTACATGGAAACAAGAATTACAGCAAAAAGAATTGGCTGTAGAGTCTCTGCGTGTGACCTGCACTGAGCAGGCAGATAATATAGCATGTCTAAAGTTGGAGTTGAATAATGTAAATTCGAAATCATCTCAAGACAGCCACGAAAGTGCACTTTTAATAGGTAGTCTGCAACATCAAGTAGAGGCTTTAGTGAATGAAAAAAATACGTTACAAGAAGATGCTGCTAAACTCATGGCTGAAAACACACAACTTGTTGCATCTCAAAATCATTTGGAAAAGAAATTGGAAGAGCTCCAAGAAATGAATGGAAAACTAGAAGCCAGTGAGAATTACTCAAGAATGCAGATAGATGCTGTCCAACTGCAGATGAAGACTGAAAAAGAGAAGTTACAGATGCAGGTTAGTGTGAAGGGTGAAGAACTTTCTAATTTAGAACTTAAATTTGAAAATCTAGAGCAAAGTCTGCTTGAGTCAGAAAACAAATGGGTGACGGAACTTGATAGGGCAACTTTAGAAATTAAAAATCTTACTGAGCAATTGAACTGTGTAGAAAGTGAAATGAAATCCAAGGATAGCAAAATCCAGTCTTTACAGGAGGAACTGGATCTTACCAAAGAGGAAATAACTCAAAGCTTATCTCAGTTACTTAATAGTAGGCTTTTATGTAAAGAAAAGAATGCACAGACTTCAGATTCCCAACTGCAGCTAACTGATGGTAAAATGCAATTGGAAAAATTCTCCACTCTGATATCCACTATTTTGAGCAAAGAAGTAGAAAGAGAACAGTTGCAGCTGGTTCTTTTAGAAAAACAGAAAGAAATAGATATAATAAAAGATGAATTAAAAAGTATGCAGTCACTTGAGAAAGAGAAGGAGTTGCTACAGAATGATATTGATAAAATGAAGGGTACCTATGAATCTGAAATTGAATGCCTATCACAGGAAATGATTGCTGTCAAGGAAACTTTATGTAAACAACAATCTCTTTTGCAAGAAAAGAATATGCAGATTGAATTTCTTCAGGACAAGATAAATAAATCAGAAGAAATAGTAAGGACCAGTCAAGAAAAACTGCATGTTGACAGTAAAAAAGTAGCAAGCCTCCTTGAAGATATGGGAAGAAAAGATCAACTCATAGAGGACTTAACTTCACAAGTAAATCAGCAAAAGGATTTAATTTCTGGTCTAAGCCAGCAAATGAAAGAAAAGGACTGTTCTGTTACCCAGCTCATGGAATCATTGTCTAGTGAAATGCTGAATTTTTCTGAAGAGAGGAATATGTTAAGCAGCAAACTGCAGGCTCTTGAATCTGCTCATAATCATTCCATGGGAGAACTAAATAGAGTGTTGCAGGAATTTGAGGACTGTAAGAAAGAGCTGGAATGTAGTCAGGTTGTATTAAGCAACAGAGAAGCTGTTTTTAAAGATTTAATGAAAGAAAAGGAGGAGATGTATCTTAATCTTGAGAAACTTGGCAAGGAAAAAGAGAATCTGAAGAAGAAACTTCAAGCAGCATTGATAATAAGAAGAGATCTAATGCAGAAAGTTGAAAAACTAGAGAAGAGTGGGCAGGAAGAAATAGAGAAAGAGAAAGGAAAAAGAGAGGGGTTGTTGAAGAAAGTTGAGGAGTTAACAGACAAGCTGAAACTAGTTGAAGATCAAAATAAAGGTTTCGAGACCTATCTTGGAACTCTGAAGCAACAGCTTAGAGAAAAAGATGTCAAAATAAGTGACTTGAATGATATCTTGTCAGCAAAGGCCACTCATTTAGAGGAACTTCAGGCCAATATTGCAAAACTAAATGATGTCATTACTGAAAAACAAATTATCTGTGAGCAGAACCTGAAATTGTTAGAGGAAAAGGATAACATGCTTGCTCATATGCAAAGTATGCTTGATGAAAAAGTGAATGCGTATGAAGAGCAACATTCTCAGCTCTTAATAGCTCTTGAAATGATGAACTCTGAAGTTAAGAAGGAAGAATTGTTGAAAAATTCCAGTTCTGAAGAGCTCAGTGCCAGGGACAAGAGAAAGTGTTTGGACTCCAGCAATGAAACTAATGTAATTCAGTTAAAAAAAGAAAAAGAAGACTTACAGAGGGATCTTTTGGTCAGGGAAGAAGATATAAGAAAATTTCAGAAAGAGGGGACAGAGGACACTAAACTTACAGCAGATTTTGATGAACAAAAACACTTGAAGAATGTCAAACTAGAGCATAAAGCTCTCTGGGAAGATCTTCAAAGAAAATTTAAAGAGTTTGACTTGAATCAATTAGAAAAGCATCTTGGGAAAGAGCTTGTCTCTCCTAAGACAGGAGAAGAAGAAAGTGACCTGAAGAATTTGGAATCCAACAGATCAAGAAACAAGGTTCAGACTGCATCCTTTAAAGAGTCAGAAAACCTAATCACTTCAGTGACAAGTAAAGATACTGAATTGGAAGAACTAAGAGACAGTTATGCAAAGCTTCAGGAGGAAACAGAAATGTTAAAGGAAGAGCTGAGAAAAATATTAGTTGAATTCGGTGGTGGTGAAGAAAAAGCAGTTGACTTAAACTCCATGAGACAACAGGAGCAGTACCAGGAACAATGTAAAGATAGCCTTTTGGAGGATATAAAGCAGCTACAGAAAAAGCTGAAAACATTCTTGACTGAAACTGCAGACATGAAGATGGTGCTGGAATGTGTAAATAATGAGAAAGAAACACTTGTTAAAAAAAATGAGGAGAATTACAGGATGAGCCAAGAGAAGCTGCAGAAACTGAGAAAGGAAGCTAATAAGGAAATTGCAGAAAAGAACAAAGAAATAGAAGCATTGCATTCTTCAGTTAAAGATTTTAAGGAGAAACTTGATCTTGAAAAGGAATTGTTAAAAGAAGCTCTAAAGGAGGGCCAAGAAGAAATCCACCGTTACAAAGCAGCATTTGAAGAAGTGAAGAATGAAAAAGAGGAACTTGTTCATCATTTAGAAGAGTCTAATTTGAAACTAATCAATAAGAAAAGGGAGTTAAAGCATGTCAGCGAAGAAAACAAAAAACTTCTGACAGAACTTTGTTTGCTACATGAGAAGGCTGAGATAAGTACTCCTGTAGTGTCATGCAAAGAGTTTAAAGAAGAAAAGGATACTGAAAAAGAACTGGTAGAGTTTTGTTCAGAAGGTGGTTCTCTTCAAGGAAGATTACAAAGTGAAGGCACCTCTTTTCAACTATCTAAGACTGGTTACTCTGGGAAAACTAATCTGAAAGAAGCAGCTGACTATAAAACCAAGAAAGAAATGGAAATTGTTCAAGAACCACTTGCAAAAACTGTTAATGTAGGTGATTCTAAACCAGAAGGACAAAGGACTATAGGAGAAGAGAAGTCCAAAGACCACCTTCAGAGAAAATTACAAGCTGCTTTAATATCGCGTAAAGAAGCTCTGAGAGAAAATAAATATCTAAAAGACCAGATTGATAAGCTGTTATTGGAGAGAGAGGAACTGGTGAACAAGACAAGTACGCTTGAACGCTTGTTGTTAGACCTTGGTAGAGAAAAGCAAAGTTCAAATACTGTTTCTCTGTTGTCTGAAGAGGAGAGCCTTATTTCTGAAAATGCTAGACTGTTGGCTGAAAATGAAAACCTCACTGCTGCATGTGAAAGTCTTAAATCTACGATGGAGACAATAGTTCAGGAAAAAGAGGCCTTTTCTTTCCAGCTAAATACCTTAAAAGATTCTCAGACAGTTGAATTAACAGGTTGGAAGGCTAAACACAGTGAATTAAAACAAGAGTATGAATCCCTCCTTCAGGCTTATGAGAATATCAGTAGTAAAATAGCAGATATGAGGCAAGTTGTTGATGTCACTAGAAAAGAGAAACAAGAGGCTATTCAGAGGCTCAGGGAAGGGGAATCTGAGAAGGAGGCTCTTGAGAAACATTTTCAGAAACTCATTGATGAAAATGAAGTGATTAAGGATCGGCTGAAAAAACTCAGTGAATCTAAGAAATTGGAAGTTGATGAATTACAGAGTAAAGCAAAAAGGCAGATATGTGAACAAGAGGCAAGAATGGAAGAACACCAGGCTCGTCTTCATGAACTCACTCAACAGAATAATCAGCTAATGGAGGAAAATGAACAGCTGAAACAAACTTCGGAAAACTTAAAGCAGGCTTTAGAGAAAATTCAGGATGAAAATGACATCCTTCATAATAACATCACTGTAACTAAAGCAGCTCTGGGAGACCTCCAAGTTCAAATGGAAGTGTACCAAAATGATATGCAATCTAAAATCAGAGATGCGTTATATGAGAATGAATCATTGTTAAAAGACGTAAATGTGCTAAGAGAGAAACTCTCTGAAAAGGAACAAGAAAGAAAATTAATTTCAGAAAAAGTGAAAGAAACTGAAAAGTCTTTGGATCATAAAAATCACTGTATTACAAAGCTGAACATGGAGTGTAAAAATCTTACACGAGAAATTGTTAGTCTAAATGAAAAAGTTAAGATTTTAGAAGATGATAAATGTCTCTTACAGGAGGAATTAGAAAATGCACAAGAAAGTTCTTACAAAGTAAAGAATGAGAGGGAATTCCTTGAGACAGAATTGCTTAATCATATTAAAGAGGTTGATCATCTTACTGATACAATGAAATCAGCACAAGTGCAGAATAATGTGCTTTTACAGCAACTGGAAGAATTAAAGGCAGAGAAGTGTAATGCGATTAGAGAAAAAGAAGAACAGCAGCTACAACTAGTAAAACTGTTTGAGGAGAAGGTGAAATGTGCACAGAGAGATAATAGTGGAAATAAAAACAGAACAAAAGAATTGCAAGAACTCTTAAAGGAGAAACAGCAGGAGATCAACCATTTGCAAAAGGATTCTATAAAATTCCAGGAGCTGATCCTGGATTTGGAAAGGTCTGTGAAACTGTCACAGTCAAAAAATGAAAAATTTGAAAAAGATTTAAGTAATATGTCAGAAAAGCTTACCAAATCGAATGAAGAAATATCCCATCTCAATGAAAAGCTGTCTTCACAGGTGAACTTGTTGGATCAGTCAAAGAAAGAAGTAGACAGGCTTACAGCTGAGAATCTTAATTGGAGAAATGAACTTAAGAGGAAAGAAGATGAACTAGAAATCCAGAAGAGAGAATATGTGACAGAACTGGAGCTAAATCTTCAACAATTAAAACTGGTTCACAAAGGAGAATTTCTGAACCTAGAGGAAAGGCACAGTGCCCTTCAGAGAGAAAAAGATAGGGCAATTAGTGAGATTCAAGGATTGCAAGAGGAGGTGAGCTTTAAGGACTCTGAAAACAAGAAGCTTCAGGCAGATTTGAATGCAGCTTTGGCACGCTTAGCTGCTTTTGCAAAGTGTATGTCCTCTCTTCAAAATGACCGAGACAGGGTAATCACTGAAATGAAAACCTGGGAAACACAGTTCAAAGAGGCTATCCAGAGTAAAGAGATACAAATAGAAAATAGTAACAAAAGAATAATGTCCCTGCAAGATGAATTGAAAGACAAAATGACTCAGATTCAGGAACTGAATATCAAATATTCTGTGGGAGAGGAAACAAAGGATGAACTGTACTTCCGGCAAAAATCTGCTAATATACCATGGCATGAAGAGCTCCGCAAATTAAAGGAAGAAAATATACTTTTTTTTAATAGGCAGCAAGAGTTGGAGAAAGCTCTTCAGTCAAAAGAAGAAACATTGCAAGCACTCCTTAGAGAAAATAACTCTCTTAATCATCTCATAGAGAATAGTAAAAGTTCTGGAAGCAAGATAAAAGTACTGGAAAATAATTTTACAAGACAAGAACAAGAACTGCAAAACCTTCTTGCTGAAAAGGAAAAAATTCATGCTGAGTTGAAAAAACAAATTACCATTTCTGAGCAAATGAAAATCATGCTGAATAATAAAGATAAAGAAATTTCCTTACTCATTTCTTCAAAAAGTGATGGAATTTCTGACTATCTGGTTCAGGTACAGACTCAACATAGAGAACAAATCAAAGAATATGAGCGTCAGTTCCATTTGCTGCAGAGAGAGAGAGAACAGTCTGAGGAATCCTGTCGAAAGATGGAAAATGAACTGAGAAATCTCCAGATGAAAGCAGATAAGGCAGGTCAAGATAAAGCTGCAATTGCCAGTGAACTAGATGCTTTTAAAAAGTCGATGTCATCTCTTCAGAATGATCGCGATGATCTTTTTTCTAAATACAAAGAGCTGGAGCATCTTCACCAAAATGTCGTAAATCAACGAGACAATCTTATAGTTGGCAATGCGAGTGAAAATAATGCTTTGAAACAAGAATTAAGGGTACTACTTAATCAGATAGATGATCTTCATTCTGAAAATGCAATGCTAAATGCCCAGCTAATAAAGTATAGGGAAGATCTTAACCAAGTTTTATCTCTGAAAGATCATCAATTAAAAGACTTACTGAAGCAAAAATTAGATTTCATTAAAGGCCTTGAACAGGAAAAATATGATCTTCAGAAACAAATAAAGGAGGTGCAACTGTCCAGTCAACTGCAGATGGATACTGTTGTATCTTTGGAAAATGAAAATAAAAAATTAGTATCTAAAGTAAATGATTTAGAATCTTTAATTGCATCATTAAACAAAGAGAAACTTGTTTCTGAGTCTGGAGAGAAACTGTTAACTAGTGGTAGCATTCAGAAGAAAAAAAGTGCATCCAATGGACTGTATGGAGAAAAACTTCAGAAGATTGACGATGTCCAGAAATCACTAGGCAGAAATACTAAGGATGCAGATGGGGAATACAGTAAGACATTTCAGAAACGTCAGCATGGATATGAACCCGATGCTTTTACAGAGATGATAGTAGAAGTTCAATCTCAGAATAGAGAGCTGAGATCCCAGAATGAGGCCTTTGGCAAAGCAATGACTGCTCTGCAAAATGATAGAGATAGGATAATTGAGGACTTAAATATACTTCAGAGCAAATACACATCAGAACTCAAGTCTGAAAAAAAGAAAGGAGTTGAACTTGAAGCTGAGTTTAGTAGCTTTAAATCCCATCTTGTCAGTATACTCAAGGAAAATGGTCTTCTGAAAAAGGTACTTTTTGATCCTGCAAATATGGTTACAGTTGATCAGATTGCCGACGAAATTGAAAATCTCTGTAGGACATTTGTCACCCATGAGCTGGAGATTAGCAGGCTTTCATCTGAATGTGGGAATTATGTTCAGCAGATTGAAGCGTTTTCCAAGGCTATGGCCAGTCTTCAGGATGACCGAGACAAATTGCTGCAGGAACTCAGCAAGCAGAAGGTAGCTTCTGAAACTAAACAGGGGGGCACAGCTTCATTTCCCATTGCTTGCAACAGCATCAATGATATAAATTATTTTAAAAGTAATTTGGATGTGCCTCAGATCAATAGGGAGAGATTGGTAAGTTTTAACTGGCTACGTTGCTTTTTTTTGTTTGTTTTCATTTAATGCAGAGAATGCATGACTTTGCAAATTACATGAGTGCTAAGAAAACATAGTATGATTAAACAAGATGTGTAGAATCTTGAGAGTTTAGAAAATTTTCCTATTAAACAAAAGCAAATGGGAAAAGCAAAGCAAAAGAATTCTGTACTAGAATTCTGGTACTAACAAAACTTCAATTATATACTTTTCCTTCCAGTTTACTAATCATATTTATTAAATGTAGGCTAAAGAAGGAGCCAGTCTTGCAACTCTTGAAATATCAAAACTGAAGGCCAAGGTTGATGATTTGGAGAAGGCATTGCATCAGACAAAAGCCTTCCAAGCAGAAACTGAGAGAGAGATTGCATCATACCAAAGTGAAATTGCTGGATTGAGGTATAAATGTTTAAGTTAAATTAACAAGTAATGCATAAGGACAATGAAAATGATGTATAATTTATCAGAATATTTTCATAACGTGCTCGGTCAGCTTCCACACAATTTTCTTTGTTTACAGTTATCCTTGTATCTTTACCTAATTATCTCTTTATTGATGTAAAATTTCAGTCTTGAATGAATGTCTTCTCTCCAGCTGGTGACTTCAGTGTATGGATTTAAAGTTAAGGGATCTCATTTCTATGCTTGATAATATCATGTTGTTGTCTCAGTAAAAGTTACCTTTGATAAACCTGAACATTTCCTCCCAATTTTTTTTTGTTGTTTTTAAGTATATGTCTGAAATATTGCAGATTTGACTCAACTGCATATTGAAAATAATCTTCATTTCACATTTGAGGAATGTTTTTGTGAATTTAAATGTCCACTTCTGCATTGTTCACATCTTTTATCACCTATAACAAATGAATAATGTCACACCTTGTGTCTAATTCTGTGAATGCCATTTTTAAGAGACATCTTCAAATGGAAATATGTATTGAGAATACTCATAAATTGTACCACATTTGCATGTAAGTTTTTAAAAATTGCCATGACTTGTTCTAGAAATAACAATTTCTACAGCCTTATTCTTTTCATTGACTTCTGTATAGTATATTTTCATTTAATAGCTGGTTTTTCATTTCACATTCAGGATGGAAAAGAACCTCCTCCTCTCAGAGTCCCAAGCACTGCGAAATCAATATCAAATGACAATTGCTGAGAAAGACCATCAGATTGCAGAACTGCAGAAGCTGCAAGAAGACATAATTGTTAAAAAATCAATCTCCACTGGCAACATTTACCCAGTCAAGGTAAACAGAATATAGCAGGAGGCAGCAACCTACTTCAGTTGATTCATTGTACTGAGTTTGCAGTTTGCTTCTTAAATGAGAATTATCTAGTATGTTTGTCTAAATAGTGAAAGGCTGATATGCTATAGAGTATATTTCACTATTCTGGGGGCCAGTCCAGTAGCAAGCTACAACTACACCAGGTCAGTGAGTTGCAATAATGAAGAACACATTTTAGATGGAGTCAGGTGTGTTGATATTGATCCACTTCTTTTAAATGAAAAAAAGAAGTTTGTTACATTTATAAAATAACAAAAACTCACTGGTGCAATACATTTTAATGGATAAAAAGCATGCAAAGAAAATTCATAAATAAAAGAATAGTTATAAAGCAAAGTGTGAAGAGCTGTCATGAACCAGTAATGGTTATTAATTCTTACCCCATAAGGAATATCAGTTTGTTACAGTTAAACTGTAAGGTAGCTGTATTTTCTCCTTACCGAGTTGATAATGTTAGTAAATTCCTTAAGTAATTTTGTAAATTGCTATTTTAGATTAGTTAAATCTAGAATATAATATGAAGAAATTCAAAGTTGGTGAATGATCATGAGCATGATTCAACAGCAGACATAGTGTTGATAAAGAGATCTGTATTGGAAAGCGTATGAGGAATTATATGAAGAATGAGCGTGTGATCCAAGACAGCCAGCATGGCTTCACCAGGGGAGGGTCATGCTTGACCAATCTGGTGGCCTTCTATGATGGAGTGACGGCATTGGTGGACAAGGGAAAGGTGACCGATGTCATTTACCTGGACTTGAGCAAGGCCTTTGACACAGTCCCCCACCACATCCTTATCTCCAAATTGGAGGATTGTAGATTTGATGGGTGAACCACTCGATGGATAAGAAACTGGTTGAAAGGCCGCAGACAGAGGGTGGTCATCAATGGCTCTATGTCCAGGTGGAGGCCGGTAGCGAGTGGCATCCCCCAGGGGTCTGTCTTGGGACCGGTGCTCTTTAACATCTTTATCAATGACATCGATGACGGAATCGAGTGCACCCTCAGCAAGTTTGCTGACAACACCAGGCTGAGTGGTGCGGTTGACACGGTTGAAGGAAGGGATGCCATTCAGAGGGACCTCGAGAGGCTGGAAAGGT